AATACAAGAATACAGTAGTGAAAATATTTGAAATAAATAAATTAATAAATATTTTATTAATTACAGACGAGAAAAATGTCTTTAAATCAATTGATGTTGTTTAATAAATTCTAATCTAATTAAGCTGAAATGCGAAATATGAACGAAAACAAAAAACAACTTTTCGGAATTGACGTTAAAGGCAAAATGTCAGAATATCCGTTATGAAAATTACAAGAGCTAAAGAAAAACCGTTGCCAAGTGATAAATAAACTGAAACGTAACATATGATTGAGTTGTCGTGTGTTTTCCCAGTGTACATTATTAATACTGCCAATATATCAAAACAATATAATAATATTATAATATAATATAACAAAATAAGGTTTTTATTTCTGTTATAACGTATTCGTTCCGTTTGGCGGCCCGATGATGCTTTTGATGGGTGCACCACTGTAATAAGTGTACGGTGGGAAGTCGAGAAGGTGAGACACATACTGTTGTTTGATTTATATTTATATACAACGATAAATAATTGGTAACGAAGTATGATTCTAAGCGAATTATTTGTTTGGTGTACTACTTTTGTGCACAAAATTTTCTATGATATTTACATTGAGGATATTGTATTTAGACTATCTGACAGGCATCTACATAAAATTGTTCACAGATTTTTTTTTTAGGAGACATTCCAGCCAACCTCTTCTTGATATCTCCTTGGTAATGTAAATAGACTGTAGTATTACATTTTCCGTAACTTAAGCAGTATTTACTTGTATAAAAATATTATTTGAGCGGTGCATTATAGAGGTAATTTTGTCATTTTCTGTGTAAATTTCTTAATATTGAGAAAACTATAAATTAAGTCGGATAAATGGACACATCTAATTTACCGAACAAGAACAACGGTCTATGTTAGAATTGATTTAGATTTTGTATTTGCTATGAGTAATGACATTTTCCGTAAAAAAATGTCATTCAAATGATATAAGACAAAGAAACTACTCAATTCAAGGTTGGACTTGAGTTTGCTTCAAATCAAAATTTGGACTTCTTTGGCTGCTTAATCCGGCGCTGGATTCAAATATATTAATATAAGTTATATCTGCCTTATAAATTACAATATTATGTGATTTATCACTCTCGGCATTTTACATTTAGGTACGAAGCTTTCGCGTATATTAATTTATTTGTATTATCGAAACGTTCATAATATTATTGTGCTGGTTAATTGCAAGATCAGGTTTGGAAATGTAAATAAGAATAACACTAATACATTGTCGTGTGAGGTAATAATAATAGCATTGATTGTTTCATAGGTTTCACCAACTCAATGACTACAAATCAACTCCTACCTACACATTTTATATGATCGATATAAGATAATATCTAATCATAGACATCGTCATATTTATTTATTTTTATTATTTTTGGGTGTGCAAGCATTCGGACACAATTACATTTAGGTACGTCTAACTCACAGATTCGTAACTTGATATTTTAAGGTACCTAATTATTAAAATTTAGTGTAACTAAAAAGCAAAAGAAAGTTCTGCATTAACAACAGTTAAAAAATCGTTTAATAAGCTCGTATAATTGCAGTAGGCTTAGTGAAGTGCAAAATGGGATTTCGGAACGAGTGGTAATTTGAAGAATTATGCAATTAGTCAGTTAAAGCAATATGAAAGAATTTGTTTCTACCAGACAACAAGTTGTTTAAAAATTGTGTGTTAAATGCGTGCCTGCGATCCGCCAAAGTGTCTAATATATGTCCCTTAGCTATAGTCATATGGTGAACGAGAGATATTAGGTGAAAAACCAGCAAAGCTAACAAATTTACGTTGGTTGCGTTTTAACTGCGTATGGATCACAAGAGGCTAAGCCATATTCAAATATAATAACGAATGAGTTTTGGATTCTGAACATATTGCTTTCACTCTGATGTATGTTTTTTTTTTTATGGTTTTGTATCCGCAAACAAATTTTCCACCAAAAATCACGTTCCAATCTTAAATATCAGTGATGGTTTATTGTAACAAATTGTATCTGGTTGTAGTTTTGGAAACGTAATTTTGTCGTACATTAGTACGAGAGACCAGGAAAATTTAAGAAAAATATTCACAGAACCTAAGAAATATTGACCAAATAGGTTATGTTTGCTTTTTTGGTCGATTTAGAGATTTTTTTTTTTAATTTTTATTTGGTAGTATAGGTAGTATAGATATGCATAAAACTATTTTACCAAACATATTTGAAAATTTATCACAAGGTCAAGGTTCATTATTTTATAAGTAGTTAATAGTGTTAATGTATAGTAGTTTTTTTTTTTATTTTTACAATAATTGTTTTACGATCAAATTTTGACGAAAACGTTCATCTCAACATAACGAAATTTCAAAAAATTTGTTTATATTATACATGCGATAGCGTGTGCATGTAAATCTACTTAATAGGCTATTTATTTTTTCGTGATTTATGTATCGGTAATTTCCACAGTCAATTTTTTGTCAATTTATTACAATATTTGTTTAAACTATAAATTCGATAAAATCATAGTAGAAAAACACTACAAAAACTAAAAAAAAAAATACTAAATATTGTTAACAAAAGTTTTGTACTTTTATTAAGATTCGTAAAAATACATTAATTCAAACAAAATATATAAAAGAAAAAAATCAAATCCAAATAACGCTGGCGACCCGATAGAGAGACAACGCATACATAGGCGAGAACATAATTTTCTATTTAATTGTATGACGTTCGTACGCAACAATTTGTCTATGAATTGGTATTGAAATAACTCGTTGCATGCTTTAAATCCTAAATAACAGAAATATAAGATTTGAGGTTACAGATAATGATTTACTATATGATTGATATTTTCACCTCGAGTTCAACTTTTAATCTTTTGCATAAAATTTTTATTTCAAATTGGAACTTCAATTTTAAATTCGGTTGACGGTATAGATCACTCAAACAGTACAATACATCCAACGTCCACGGGCTGGTAGTATTAAACACCTATGATAAAACAAAATAGAATTATATGATATCAACGAGAAATTAAATCGATCAGAATGAAACGTATTCGACATACCGTGCTATAAGCACATGTTTCAAGAATTCTCGTTACAAGCAGTAGAGTATTCATCAATTTGTCCTCTCCTCCTTGATACGCCTTTATCAATAATGTCTTCAAGTCCTCAAACGACGTACTTATCGGTTTATTCTTGGCTATGGTCATCATCCCGTACCAACTTCCCAAATTGTTCAACGTTTTCCTACAAATAGGATTCACCTCGCCCCGACTCAATAATGACTAACAAGATACGCGAGTTATTATTTTAAAATATATCGTATTCATCATTATTAGGAAACGGATTTATAAACATTTAAAATTTACAAAAAAGCGCTTAAATACATCAAAAAAATCCCTAAAAAACAGCTTATAAAATGTTTGAAAAAGAGATAATAATAAACAGATTTTAAAGTTCACCTATCTTATAACTTTCAACAAAAATGATTAGAATAAAATGATTTATTAAAATATATTTTAAAAAAAAATACTTCTCGTTAATAAAATGTCAACGTTAGACAATTTTATTTAATGGATTAGAACCGTTTGAATAGGGAACTTTTAAACTTTTAAAATCACTCTACCGCTTTTGCTTTTTTATAATATTTTTTGAATGGTTTTTATGCGGATTTAAATTGCATATAAATCGGTTCCCTAATCATGATATAAAAAATAAAAATAAAAATAAATATTCCTTCTCGCTTTAATGGATGTTTCTGTTTCCACCGTTATTAACTCTATGAGTGTTTCGCTGTTTAACGAATTCAAAAAATTTAAGAATATATTAGTTTGGTAATTTGATTTGATATTGATATGGTTTGTTACAATATACCGTGCTAACCACGGTATACATTTTTCTTCAGTTTCGACGATTATATCTTTTACTTCATTACACTATAAATGATATAAAATAAAATAAACAAATTATTAACGTATAGTATTACTCCGGCAACAGCGTATTTGACTTAAATTATTCGTACTATTTTCAAATCGTGTAAGTAAATAACAATATAATAATATTAACCTTTGTTTGTAGATTATGTTCATTCATCACGTTGAAAATAGAATGTATTGATTCTTTGCAGCGTTTTATAGATTTGACCGTTGCAGCTGTGTTGGGTTTTTGAGAACTCGACACATTCACACCTAATAAAAATAATGTATAATGTATACAAAAGGTATTTCTTTTATTCGTAAATTATATTCCTGCGGATATCTTGACCGAATATCATTTTAACTTTAAATTCCGTAAACTATATTAGGTATATATGTAATGCTTGTGTTCGGAAAAAATTTTAGATTGTCCTTATTTTTACGGCGAAGAAAACTCCAAAAATATATACAATTTTTTATTAATATAGGCATTGCAAAACTACTTAAAAAATAACATGTCTCACTAACTTCCCCTGATTAAAATCACAATAATAATGTATCTCCATAGTCTTAAGAACAATATTGTGTAATTAATAAAGACTAATAGTTGAAGCTTAATAGTTGAAGCCTTACCTACTCAATAAAAAAAAAAAAAAAATTTGTAGATAGTATTTTAATCGGTTCGAAGTCGGTGAAAACGAATAATTAACTTTATAATATACAAACGATTTAATTTTATAATAATTTGCTGTACTCACTTGGCGGATCAGTGCTAACGGGAGATTTTGTATTGGCCGGCGGTAGAATGCTTTGCGTATTACTGCCGGTCGAGCTCGGACCGACTGTGGCATTGGGATACGTTGTCTCAGTTATGGTGGCGGACCCTACTTCGGTAAAGTATAATGAAATTTATAATGTACACGATTCAATTTTATAATAATTGCTGTACTAACTTGGTGGATCAGTACGANAGAACAATATTGTGTTATTAATAAAGGCTAATAACCTTAATAGTTGAAGCCTTACCTACTCAATAAAAAAAAAAAAAAATATATGTAGATAGTATTTTAATCGGTGTAAACGAATATTTAACTTTCTTTATAATATACAAACGATTTAATTTTATAATAATTTGCTGTACTCACTTGGCGGATCAGTGCTAACGGGAGATTTTGTATTGGCCGGCGGTAGAATGCTTTGCGTATTACTGCCGGTCGAGCTCGGACCGACTGTGGCATTGGGATATGATGTTACAGTCATGTTGGCGGACCCTACTTCTGAAAAGTATAATGAAATTTATAATGTACACGATTCAATTTTATAATAATTGCTGTTCTCACTTGGTGGATCAGTGCCGATGGGAGATTGAGTATTGACCGGAGGTATGATGCGCTGTGTCGTACCGTTAGCTTTGCCTGGAACGACAGTAGCATTCAGATGCGATATTCCAGTCATGGTGGTAGACCCTACTTCGGAAAAGTATAATGAACTTTATAGTGTACACGATTTAATCTTATAATAATTGCTATTCTCACTTGGCGGATCAGTGCTAACGGGAGATTTTGTATTGGTCGGCGGTAGAATGCGTTGCGTATTACAGCCGGTCGAGCTCGGACCGACTGTGGCATTGGGATACGTTGTCTCAGTTATGGTGGCGGATCCTACTTTGGGAAAGTATAATGAACTTTAGAATGTACACGATTGCGATGTTGAAAATTTCGTTTTATAAAATAATTATGGCTATACTCACTTGACGAATTGGTAATTGGTTGTGTTTTGACCGGCGGGAGGTTGCACTGTGTCGTACTATCAGTCTTGCTCGGAAGGACAGTAGCATTCAGACGCGATATTCCAGTCATGGTGGTAGACCCTACTTCGGAAAATTATAATGAACTTTATAATGTACACGATTGCAATGTTGAGAATTTAGTATTATAATATAATTATAGCTATACTCACTTGACGAATTGGTAACGGGTTGTATTTTGGCCGGCGGTAAGATGCGTTGCGTTGTACTGTCGGTTGGTCTTGGACCGACAGTAGCATCCGGAAATAAAGTCGTAGGGGGCGTAATAGTTGCTACTTTGGATTTATCAAGAATAGCTGCCTCTGTTTCTACGTTTCGAAGAAATGCTCTGTAAATAAATTAACGATTTATTTTTAAGAGTATACAAATTTCTAAAACACTAAATATATCAAAAATAATATAATAATATTTCTGTACATATCTAATAAAAATCATAAAAAATATACAATTTCACATACCTTATCAACATAATTACGAATCGTATCAATTCCACTGCGCTTCGTAAAATCATCACGACTAACGACAGGAGCCACAGGTTAATTTTTGCGATATAGCAAACCAAACTTACCGTAGCAGACGTCATTATAATTGTACGAGTATAATACAAGAATACAGTATTGAAAATATTTGAAACAAATAAATTAATAAATATTTTATTAATAACAGACGAGAAAAATGTCTTTAAATCAATTGATGTTGTTTAATAAATTCTAATCAAGTTAAGCTGAAATGCGAAATATGAACGAAAACAAAAAACAACTTTTCGGAATTGACGTTAAAGGCAAAGTGTCAGAGTATCCGTTATGAAAATTACAAGAGCTAAAGAAAAACCGTTGCCAAGTGATAAATAAACTGAAACGTAACATATGACTGAGTTGTCGTGTGTTTTCCCAATGTACATTGTTAATACTTCCAATATATTAAAGCAACATAATAATATAATAATATAATATAATACAATAAGGTATTTATTTCTGTAATAACGTATTCGTTCGGTTCGGCAACCAAACTTTGGCCCAATATGAAGCGGCCCTGTGATTAATTTTTAAAAGAAGTAATAATTAAGCCCGAACTCAACATTGGATTTTGCGCCACTGACTGCCGTACACTCTGATAATATTTACTCTCAGTGCGGGCCGTGTGTTTTGTATATTATTGTATTTCACTACGCATTATTGTTACTATATTTTGTCGCACACGGCACTCGTGTGAATCACGTGCAGTCTTTTCGTTAAACGCTACACTGTAACGTTCCTCCATTTCTCGCATTCATTTGTTCGATCGATCCCTCATCCAACCCTTACCAAATCCTCGCCGGGAATTTTCGACGACGTTGTAACAAAATTTTTTTACATAGTCGCTTCTGAATCATATTTATTTCGTATATTACGCAGAGATATGTTCAAAAAGAACTAATGCTGCCGATGGGTGCACCACTATAATAAGTTGTACAGTAGGAAGTTGAGAAGGTGGGACACGTACTGTTTTTTTGATTTATATTTATATACAACGATTAACAGTTGGTAACGAAGTATGATTCTGAACGAATTCATTCTTGACATAACTTCAAAAGATGCGTAATTTTTCACCCGGTAGTACTAAATCGAAAATATTTTTCGAAATTTCCAATTGTTAAAATATAATGTATAACTACGTTGCTTTTCAACATTATAATATCTATAATTCCTTTAAGTCATACCAACCTAGACCTTACATGTTTTTGATTCTGTGTGTAGCGAAGAATGTATTAGTTTTATAATTTTTTTTTATATATATCGTGTACTAAAATTCTACCAGAAATCTTGCTCCGAAGAGTCAATTATAGCATCTTTACTGAAAGACAATTTTTCTGGGATGGTACTTTAAAGAGGTCATTTTCTCAATAAATAGGAAAAACATGGTAAAAACCAGGACAAAAAACTAGAATATAGACACAATATTACATAAATATAACCAACGAAAATATATATTGCACATATAATTATTTCACCATAATGTGATACATAAATTGTTGACATAGCAACACTGTTAACCAAAATCTGCTCAGAATCGTTATTGCGTGGTTAATCGTTGCGTACAGATATTTATTAAATTTCCTCATCTACATTCCCAACTACTCACCTACAATAGTGGCCCATCCACGTGTGAAGAATGCCCGTCTTTTTAAACGTGTATTCATAAAATATTATTATTGTAAAGTATTTAAATATATATTTTGAATACTATTTTTCAATAGTCTGCCAGATATGATAAAAATTGTTCAGTTAGTTAAACAACTATTTTTCAAATATTTATTTTGAATACTTTAAAACAGGATTTTTACTCAAGTCTGATAATCACACTAGGCAATAAAATTATTGAGTTTATGACACCCGATGTAATTATTGTTGTTAATAATTAGTTTTGTATCGTTACAATGACGACGACCGTGTCGTATGCCCACTTGGAATACGACGATAACGTTAATTAGATGGGTATGAAAAATAATATAAAATATAACAATAACGGACGACAGCTGATTGCAAATTAATAATTTATCAGCTTTATAGGGTCTGAACAGTGTTTTTTACTTTGGTACGTGCAGCACTGCTGTAGTACATGTAAATATTATTGTTGTCGTCATTTTATTACCGTCGTAAGTCGTAACCTAACATAAAATCTTTTGTGTGTATATAAGTCCTTAATGTAATATGTTTGCATCAACGATTCGTTTTGTATCATATGATAACTGTACTTAACTTCAGAAAAATAAGTTTCGAAAAAAATACTACCAGACGGAATATTCACGTCTTTTAAGCTATTGAATAAAAAATGTGCAGCATTTTTACTCACCGAAAAATAGTTTTCCTAGAAAAAGAAATTAGCTATTAAAGAATGTGGGTCGGTACATAAGGATTAATAGTGTGTTACAAATATGGCCAATATATTAAAAGGTGATCGTTCTCACATTAGACAACATTAATGGAAAAAAATATAATATTTTAGTTTAGTTACAAGATCATAAAAATAAAAAATTTCGTAGAAAGTAATTTTTTTTAATTATTTGTTTGGTTTACTCCTTTTGTGCACAAAATGTGCTATGAATTTTTCATTGAGGATATTATGTCTAGACTACCTGACAGGCATCAACATAAAATTGTTCACAGATTTTTTAGAAGACTTTAGGCTGTAGTATTACATTTTTATCAGAGACTCAATTTACCACATCCACTATTTTTAAATGGGATTCAATTTAGCTGATAATTCTAAAATGGGACTCAATTGACCAAATCCATCAACTTTAGCTGTAGTTTCTGGTATACAAATATTATCTGGTCAATGCATTATGGAGGTAATTTTGTCATTTTCTATGTAAATTACTCAATTCAAGGAGTTTGCTTCAAATTATAATTTGGACCTCTTTGTCTGCTTAATCCGGCACTGGATTCGAATATATTAATATTAGATATATCTGCCTTATAAATTATAATACTATGTGATTTATTACTGTGATTTAGGACTGCTAATTGAAAAACAGATCGATAAAAATAAAGTTATATATGTGGCCTTCATAGACCTGGAGAAGGCCTTCGATAAAGTAAATTGGAACAAAATGCTACTCGTTTTACGAGAAGTAGGTGTCGAGCAACAAGACCTAAGAATTATCCACAGTCTGTATAAGAACCAGACAGCTTGCATTAAGAAAGGAGAAATCACAACAAACGCTCAAATAAAAAAAGGAGTTCGACAAGGATGTACGTTATCACCACCACTGTTTAACTGCTAAATCGAAAAATTTATAAATGCAGTAAAAGCAAAACTAACAAGACTAAATATTGGAATCAAAATTGGTGGAGAAATCGTTTCAATGACATTGTGGTAATAGCAGAAAGTGAAGGGGACATACAGCGTGCAGTTGAAGAAATGGATGAAATGCTCAGAACATCAGAAATGAAAATAAATAGTACAAAAACCAAGATCTTAGTCTGCGCCAGAGACCCGAAAGTAAAATCTGATGTATACATATGTAGTCAAAAACTAGAACAAATAGAGGAAATATTATACCTAGGGAGCAAAATCACATCTGATGGCAAGAGTGTCCACGAGATAAAACAACGCATAGCATTAGCAAAAACTGCCTTTAGTAAAAAACATAAGATGCTAACTTCAAAGAAGATACGTCTCAATATCAAGAAGAGACTTATAAAAACATATGTATGGGCGGTCATTTACGTTTCTTTTGTTGAAACTCGCGGACGGCGTTTTCTCGTCGGAAAATAAATACTCGTACACATTGGTACCTATTTATAATAATACGAGCGTACGCTGTAAATAATATTCAACGAGTGTTATAATATCGTATTGTANGCGGTCGCTATTTACAATAATATTCGATCGTGCGTTATAATATTATTATTATTATACCCGTGCCGGCGTATATTATAACACCGTACACAATAACAGTATATGCTATGATAATGCGTACAGGTACAAGGCGGGTAGGCAGATAGGCGGCTATACGCATAGGTACTAAATAATATCAACTCGCGCGGACGTCAAAAACAAAAAATTAACGTATCCGCCGGACGGTTTTGTCCGAGCCCGTTCTTTCGGGGCGAGTAGCCGGCACAACAACAATAATAATAATAATAATAATAATAATAATAAATATTATTACAACAAATACATGGATAATATCGCCGTGTTCGGTTATAATATTATTATGGACGGGCACGTTTTATAAACACCCAGTCACCGCGGCTTGTACGATAATAACATTATAATTGTATTCGATAGGTGCCGCTGCAGACAAGGGCTGTAATACGAGAGGTTATTTGTGTTCCTGTTGCACCCTGTATATTAAAGATATCAGTGGCGTGCTTAGCTTTTTCCTATGGGTGAGGAGGAAGGATAAACTGTATTTTGTTTTGCTGATAGTCACATACACGAATTTACAAAATATACTTATTGGTATATACATTGATATTTTAGGAGTAGGTAGTCAGTCAGGTACAAATTTCAATGTTATTAAGGTTATTATAAACATATCTGTTTTTTTTTATACTAATATTTCAAGCTTCATTGTTCATTTTTTTGGATTTTTTAGTCGTTAATTTAATATATCGTTATGTTATTTCCCTTTTACTGTAGATAGAATCGGTTTTTAATTTATTAATTTCAATACAAAAATAATATGCAACTTTGCTACTTACGTATTTTTTTTATCTGTATCGTTTCTCTTTATATTTCATACATTTGTGTATATTTTTAAGTACTAGATAAAATGTGGCCCGATTATCGACCGTTTGACAATTATTAACAAGGTAAAAATAATACGGTAATGCATTTGCAGGATAGGTATCTGTACCTAAAACCTCAATTTTTCCCTTTAAAACGCATTGCTCATTTCAAATGCGTTGATACACTCGTAATTATAATACAGACTATTGAATTCGATATCTACTTCCGTTTTACACTAGTAGGTTTCATATGTATTTACCTAAGCACACTGATTCACTGATATTATATAATATTAATATTTTATTTATTTTTTCAACAATATTTAAACTTATTATAAATACTTTCAAACCTTTTAATAAATAAATGTAAGTAAAAACCAAATACAATTGCAAGTGTACAATAATTATTTAATGAGTTTTACATAAGTATAATAATACAAGTAATGAAGTAAATATAAAACAAAAACATAACAAAACATAATAAACAAGGTAATAATAACATGAACAGTAATATGGAAATAGTGAAACGAATAATGAAAATGAAAATGATTATAAAATTGTTAACAAAATTTTAATCACAATTTATTGGACATTTCCGAAGCTTTCTTAATGATCCAGACTTTAAAAATCCTAAAACACAAGTTGCAAATAAGATTAATGCGGTTTTCAAATATTTTAAATTAATTCTCACCTCACGTTTAATATTTTAAATAAGTGTTCGATTTGAAATCGTATCATGCAGTACACGCTCAGTTCATGGTACAATTTCGTCAGGCTCGTCAGGGCTTTTATCGTCCAATGACCTAAATTGTTTAACCGCGTCCTGTACAGTTCTTTGACGCAAGGCGAATTCGATTTGTTTTGTTTGAATAAAACCTAAACAGATAAAATTCAAGATATTATATTTTAAAGTAATCTGTTTGCGTATCTTGCGTTTATAACAGATACATTCCTATGCTTACTCTGATGTTTTTGACGGTTTCCCTTCTTATTAATGTGTTCAGGGGTATGTTGTTTAACCCAGAAAGTTCAAATACATCTCGCGGAAATTCTCCTCGATGGCGATTCGTTTAGTTAGTTAGCACCTCGATAACCAAGGTAGACATTCGTCGGTCAATATCTCGATTTATATCTGCGGATTTCGTTGCAATTTATAAAATACAAATAAATTATTGACACGATAATTATAACAGATACCTATATGTATAAAGTATTTTAGTGATATTTGTTTTTGTACACGTTCAAATTTTGTTTCCTTTATGTAGGAGACAAAATTAATATCAAATCTAATGTGTTTTTAAATCTAGACAAAAAGTTAAATAAATATTTCGATGAATGAATATTCACCATATTTATTGTGAGAATGATCTTTTATTTATTTTTAATATTCCACAAGACAATTTATTTTTAAAACCAACAAATATATCATACATACCTATAAGTATGAAAGAAATTCAAAATATTAAAATAGATAATTTTGATTTAAAAGGGAATATATTTAATAAATTGTCAGAATTTATTGTTTATCGTAGTTTAACAAAAAGATAATGAATTCACATTCAGATTTTCAATATATTTCTATATTTAAATATTAATAACTTTTAGTATAATAAATATGTCAAAAGAGAATAAATGCAAAGTAGATTCGTATGATTTTAAGTAAAAATAAAATAGAAACCATATTTCCTATACCTTTACGTTGTTTAATTGTTGGACCTTCAGATTCTGGTAAAACCACGTTGTTGTGTAATATTATTGCAAAACGTTGGGTTTCATATGACAGTCTTTATATTTTAATATTAGTCTTTATATTATCTATAGATTTTAATTAATTAATTATACATTTTAATCACATTTATAACAAATTCTTATTCTTTTATTAAAATGAGTAACTTTAGTTACTTTTTATTTTATTTTTTGAGTTCTGCAATGGTAGGTAATTTAAAACTAGGTATACATTGTAAGATCAATTTGTGTATTAACACAAATTGTTAAATGAGCAGCAGTTACTATTTAATAAACTATTAAAAATTACTGTTAATTGTCATGAAGACTAATTTTTTTTGCCTCCAATCATTTCTAGATATGTTGATCCATTGATGATGAACCATTTAACTATGTAGCCAATAGAGTGATTGGAAATAATACAAATATTGTAAGAATTAGAACTTGTATTATATATGTTATTGAGAAACTACGATCAAATTAATGGTGATAAATTTCATTTGGTATACTCATGATTTCAAAAGTATATTTCATTATTTCAACAATTTGGAACGTATGTATTTAAAATAAACTTAATGAAGAATGAGTTTATTTAGCCGCATTTATTTATCTGCAAAATAAAATTGAATTCATTGTTATGGTTTATCTATTTTCCATCGACAAGCTAGAGAACCTAAATGTATTCCTGAAAATAACAAATACCCATTGCTTAGGTATAGAATTTTGAGAATATCATGAATAATGACCATCAAAAACATTAATGTAAAATAAAGACCAGTTTTGGTGTGAAAATGTTTCTCTGATTTGTCCAAAAAAAAAAAAAAAACTGTCTAAGTTTAAATTATAAAAACAAATAATTGTTTAATACTAAATTTTGAATTTGGCAAGTTTTAATATAAAATTTTAAATTATTTTAAATGTTTTCTTTATTCTAATCTAAAATTTTTTATTCTATATTCTATATTCTAGTATCTAAAAATAATCTAAATCGTACTACTGCTTTAATAAAAAAGTTACATGAAAAAAAGTTTTCTTGTGCGCGTAACAAGAATGAATCAATTATTCTGAATGTATTGGCTCCTTTTTCAATGAATCAAATAATAGACGAACTAAAAGCTGTTAATTTTGCGACGGTTATGATTGACACTTCAAATCATAAGAATTTAAAAATTGTCACAATTCTTATTCGATATTTCGATCCTAAAACGGGAGTTCAAATAAAAGTGCTAGAATTCACAAATTTGAAAGAAGAAACTTCGGATATATTGTCGTCATATATTATGGAAATTTTAACAAAACATAAATTATCTCACAAAATTATTGCATTTACCGGTGACAACTGTAATACTAATTTTGGAAGCGCTGCAAGGAGGGGAACAAAAAATGTTTTTACGATTTTAAACAATAATTTAAAGACTAAGATTTCTGGTATTGGTTGTGCAGCTCATATTCTGCACAACGCTATGCAAACTAGTACAGATATCTTACCTATTGATGTCAAATGTATCGTTAATAAAATATTTCAATACTTTTATATTTATACTGCGAGAGTGGAAGTATTAAAAGAATTTTGTGATTTTACAAATACACAATACAAAAACTTACTTGGAAGTGTAAAGACAAGATGGCTACCCTTACAACCAGCAGTCTCCAGAACTATTGAAANGTTGCAATAATATGGTTTCATTTTATACAAAGTCAATTAAAAGTCGTTTGTGACACTATAAAAAGAATAGAAAGGGACAACATATCTGCATGTGAAGTATCAGAAGAACTAGAATTACTATGTAGAAAAATAAAAAACACAAAACTTTTCAACTTCCAGTGTAAACTCGATGCTTTTAGAACTAGAGACAAAAAATAAATACACAAAAAAACAATTTATAGAGCAAACTAACCAGTTTTATGACACATTTTTATTGTATATTGAAAAGTGGGGAAATTCATTTGAAGAACTAAAAATATTTCGTTGGACACAATTGATAAATTGTCCAACATGGAATGATATTCAAAAAAGTTTAACATTTATTTTGCAAAATAATAAACAAACCGGTTGGGATGTGGATGAAGATATTCTTTTTGATGAATATAATCATGTAGTTAATGCTATAAATGCAAATTTAAAAGAATGGCAGAATAAATATGTTTGTGTTGAAGAAAGTTGGTGTGCTATCTATAAAATTTTAAATAGTAAAAGTATATTGATAAATAATTTTTGGAATATTATAGAATATTCTCTAGCAATGCCTGGAACAAATGCTGCAATTGAAAGAGTATTTTCTATCACTAATGTGTTATGGACGGACGAAAAAAATCGCTTTCTTGCTCCTACCATCAAATCAATTATAATTTTAAAAAATCATTTCAACAAATTTTCGTGTAATGATTTTTATGATTTTTTGCTTACACAACCAAAACTGTTAAACGCAATAATTTCATCGCAAAAGTACAGTAACGACACATTTGATAATAAAAGACATAACGAGCAATCGACATCAACCCAATAAAAGTAATCAAGTTTTGTATTAAAATATTAAGAAACGTAGTTAAAAAATATTTTAATTATAAATGTAACTATAAAATAAAAAAAATATGTATATTTTTTTAGAGTATTTAAACTAAAAATTGTTTTTTTTATTTTTCATTAATAATTGTTTTTTTATTTTTGCAAAACTGGTCACTCTACCCTAAGTATACTTTATTTTACGGATGAAAACAGGCCAATATCTAACCAAGATTTACCTAAAAAAAAAAAAAAAAAATTAGAATTATATAATTTCAAATATTTATTTTATACTAAATATTAGTAGTATAAATTAATTAGAAAAGATGCTAAGCAATGAGTATATGTTATTTTCAGGAATACATTTAGATTCTTTATCTTGTTGATGGCATATAGATAATAACATAACGATGAGTTATTTTACAAATAAATATAGGTCAATAATGAACCGGATTTTACATCATTCCTTAAAATAGTTTTTCTGATAATATTATTTTAAGATTAATGAAATTTAATGTAATATAAATAATTAAAATATGCTAAATTAACTCACTTTTCTTTAAGTTAATTTTAAATACATACATTCCTAAATGTTGAAATAATGAAATATTAGTTTTGAATTCATGAGTATACCGAATGAAAAACAACACCATTTAATTATTCGTAGTTTCTCAATGACATAAAATTCAATTCTATTTCTTACGATATTTTCATTATTTCCAGTCACTCCAAATTGGATACATAGATTAATGGATCAACAAATCTAGAAATAATTGAAGGTAAAAGAAATTAGTCACCATGTATGACAATTGACATAATAATTTTGAAAAGTAGATCTTAAAATATATAGTTAGTTTAAAATGACGCACCATTGCAGAACTCAAAAAATAAAATAAAGTGACTCATTTCAATAAAAAAAAAAGGAAGAATTTGTTAAAAAAGTGAATGATTATTTAAAAATAAAGTGATTAAAACTTTTAATTAACAAATTAAAATTTTTTGAGTACCTACCTAACCGATATTATATTTAATATCAAATTAATAATGCCACTAAATCTATAATGTGACTCTTTTAGAAGTGTTAGGTTAGAGCAACTGTTATTTCTGATTTTCGTACTTTATTTTATATATTTAGCACATGTTGCTGAGGATAACTGGTTCATTTGATCGAGGGCAACTGTTACCTACGTTTGGTTTATTACAACTGGTATATTTTTTTGTAACGCCGAAAATACTCACTGAGAGCAACTGGTCAATACTCGAAAAATATGGTTTTACACGTTGGTACAAAATTAAATGTTTAAAAAAATGGTCTAATTATTTGAAATGAGTTTAATGACTATTTCAAATTTACTCACTTATTAAATTGAGACATCAACAAAATATAATTCAGCAAGTTTGTACATTTATTTGGAAGCAGCAGTGATTTGTTTCATACGATTTAATGCACTGCCTGCTTTAAACCAATCGATCTGTTGTTCCCAATAATACCGGGAAAAGTTTATGCTACCTTTAATGGCCAACGCGGTAGTGAGCTCAGAGGATGTGACAAATGCATGAGTCGCCGTATTAGCATCATTTCGTCCGGTGAAGTTCCTATTGTACAAACTGACAATTGTGTTCTTTTCATCCTTTTTAACGTCTTTACGATCCCATTGACCAATACAAGGACCACAAGCATTAGCTAATATAGTACCGCCAAAATCTCTCAATATTTGTGCGATTCCATCTCGTTCAATCGTTGCCCTGATTTGTTCAGATCCAGGCGTTACGTTAAATGGAATTTTCGATTTGCGTCCATGAGCTAATGCTTCTTTTGCTATAGAAGCACACCTTGACATATCTTCATAACTTGAGTTAGTGCAACTTCCAATTAGACAGACTTTGATTTCAAGGGGCCAATTATTTTTTGTGGCGTTGTCACCAAGTTTGGAAATAGGATGAGCGAGATCGGGTGTGAAAGGTCCATTTACATGAGGTTCCAATGTGTTTAAATCAAGTTCGATTAACTGATCATAGTTGCTGCCTTTGTCAGGTGTCAATAAGGACTTACTGTACTTGGCAGCTTCTTCAGCAATATCAGGACGTGAAGTATCCTTCAAATAATCAGCCATAAGACGATTGAAAGGGAACAATGAAGTAGTCGCACCAATTTCAGCACCCATATTACAAATCGTAGCCATACCAGTGCACGATATATTGTCAACTCCAGGTCCATGATACTCAATTACAGCACCAGTACCTCCTTTCACAGTTAAGATATCAGCCACTTTCAAGATAACATCTTTTGGTGTAGTCCAACCAGACANAGTTCCCATGGAATGTCAGCCATAACATCAACAGCATCCGCCCCACCAACTCCAACACACAAACCGCCGAGACCACCACCGTTAGGTGTATGAGAGTCAGTACCAATCATTAATAATCCAGGAAAAGCGTAGTTATCCAAAATAATTTGGTGAATGATGCCCGAACCCTTATTCCAAAAACCAACTCCGTATTTAGCGGCAGCCGTTTGCAAAAACCCGTATACTTCTCGGTTCATTTCTTTGGCTTTTTTCAAGTCTTCTTTTCCACCAATCTGAGGTTCAATTAAGTGATCACAATGAATGGTGGATGGAACCGTGACTTTTGGTAAACCAGATGAAATAAATTGTAACATAGCCATTTGAGCCGTAGCATCTTGCATAGCCACGCGGTCAGGTCTTAATTTTAAATAGGATTCACCGCGTTTTAGTTCTTGGTTCTCGGGATCATCCAACTGAGAGTAGAGTGCTTTTTCTGTTAACGACAATGGTTTTCCTGTTCTATCGGCAACGATTTTTATACGGCTCTCCAGACATTCATATGGCAAAGACACGGTGTCTAAGATGCTCATGGAAACTTGACAGCCTTTGGATGCAGCAGGCGACGTGCGAAAACATCTTTGTTGAATCTCTTCCATTACTAATTTTATCCACGGCAGTTTTGATTTAAGTGATCTGAAGAATGACATCTTGAATGTTGAACCTTCGTTAAGTATTTAATTGACGAGTAACTACAATAATAGTTTTAACACATCGGATAAATATAAAATCGAAATTACTAAATCAACAATAATATATTTTGTCGTCAAAGTAGAATGTTTTCGTCACGACGGATACAACTATCTGTTTGTTACGAACATTTTAAATGGCTTATATATTATTTATTTTAACTTCGAAGGATAATTTATATTACTATAATAAAAATTATTATTCAATCAATGCGTATTTCCATGTGGCCTACGATATATATATATGGTAGGTACTGGGAAAAATATTTTATCTAATTATTTTACTTTTCATAGAACAAAAGAATAAAATACGCATCAGATATTTGTTCATGTATCTATGAAAACAATCGGTAGAACGATTTCTATAATTCATAATTTAGAATATCTATATAAAATATATATCTCAACAACGTATTATTGCATTATTTTTTTCTTTATTTTTCTCGATTATAATACAAAAACCAGGTATACCTCATCTTTTGAGTATAGATACTTATTTATACAGGGTAAATCTCTTTTCGTAAAATTTAAAATTAAAGAAACATGTGGCTCAGAATTGTAGATAATATAAAACCTATTAGTTTAGATGAATGTTTGTTCGCAACCCGCTTTTTGGCTACTTATCAGTTTGATTGAGATAGGGAGGAATAATGAAACACTATTTAAACGCCACGCTTCGTGCCACCATGATATGAATGATGCTCCACTACAACTCTTCTCCTACATATACTTAAAAGTAAAATATCTCGTCAACGGATTGAAGAAACCAATCATTTTAACACCTAAATATATTTAAACTAATACTTCATCTATTTATGGAGTGAATAATATAGATTGCTAGGTATTTGAACATTCTTAAGAAGATGGTCTGTTCAAATATATAAAAATTAGTGCAAAAAAAAAAAACAATAGTACCTTAAGTAAACTTTGATTAAATCTTTAATAAATCTTGTAAATTATCAAAAAAATAAATTTAAAAATTTATAATTTTTTGACGATTTAAGAAACAAGCCGATTTAAAATGTTATGTCACCATTATTTATTTTGTGACACTTATTTTTGGAGGTGAAACGATTACCAACTTTGGATTTTTCAAATGGTAACTTATATTTAAAAAGTTCAATATATAGATAGAATATTAGTTTAAATAAGTTGTTGTGCTAAAATGTTGATTTTGTTTACGATGTATCCCATTTTAAAATTTGGGTAGTTTTAATGTAGTGGAGAATCATTTGTGTGACGTACGGCGCAGGCTTTAAATAGTGTTCAGTCAAAATGCCTAAATTTATATATTGTATTTTAATGATTTAATTTAAATTTACAGGCCGTGCGTTTACAGGCCCAACGTGTCAGGTATGGAATAATATATAACTATTATTTTTATTTGCAAATGACCTATTGGCTATGACACTCTACAGTACCTACTTACATAATTTTTAACTGTTCTCAGCAGGCTACCAGTGCCTTAGAGCATACCCTAATACCAGGAGGATACTAATGAATTTGAGAAATTTGAAAATATGTTTAAACAGTAGGCAAGTGACAATTTATTTGCTTGTAATATAATACCATCTTGACCCGACGAAGAACCATTTTTTAAGCTTAGAGATTAGATTAATAATTTCTCGTTCATCGGTAAAATTAATTTGATCAAAGATAAATATGTTAAATTGAGATGGAAAAATGTGATATAGTGGTAAAATCATGAATTATATTTTGTTGGTTTCTCAATTTAATAAGTGAGTAAATCTGAAATATTCATTAAACTCATTTCAAATAATTAGACCATTTTTTTAAACATTTAATTTTGTACCATCATGTAATACCAAATTTTTCGGGTATTAGCCAGTTGTCCTCAATGAGTATTTGCGGCGTTAAAAAAATATATACCAGTTGCTCTCAACCAAATATGCCAGATGTGCTGAATATATAAAACACAATACCAAACTCAGAATATAAAGAGGGACATTTTAACCTGTGTATTATTTAAAGTAAAGCTGACTTCATTCACCAATTCCAGTGCGAACTAAATAAATTCCAAATATTTCGGAAAATCACGTCGGGATAACAGGGAAAAAACTTTTCGATAATCGATAGGTATAAGTAACTACCATAACTACCTATCTAGTTATGAGTACCTAGATAACTATGGGTAATTCTTGATATGGGTCTGACTTTCCCTCCATCTCTGTAAAAATGGATTAAATGAATTTCAGTTTTTACAACAGTTTCTCCAACCTAACACTTCTAATATAGTCACTTAAATAGATTTAGTGGCATTATTAACTTAATATTAAATATAAAATCGGTTAGGTAGGTATCCAAAGAATTTTAATTGGTAAATTCTAAATTTTAATCATTTTATTTTTAGATAGTCACATTTTTAACAATTCTTACTCTTCTTATTCTTACTCTAACTATTATTACTCTAAAATGAGTAACCTTTTTTATTTTTTATTTTATTTTTTGAGTTCTGCAATGGTAGGCTATTTTTAAACTAGGTATACATTGTAAGATCAATTTGTGTATTAACACAAATTGTTAAGCGAACAGCAGTTAATATTTAATAAACTATTAATAATTACTGTCAATTGTCACACACAGTGACTCATTTATTTTTCTTCCAATCTTTTCTAGATTTGTTGATCTATTACTTGATTATTCATTAAACTATGTAGCCAATTGAGTGACTGGAAATAATGAAAATGATGTAAGAAATAGAATTGTATTTTATATGTCATTGAGATAATGCAAACAAATTAATGTTGGTGATTTTCATTTGAAATATTCAAAAATTTAAAACTATATTTCATTATTTCAATAATTAGGAATTTATATATTTAAAATAAACTTAATGAAATTTTGAGTTAATTTAGTATATTTTAATTATTTATATTACATAATATTTTATTCATCCTAAAATAATAATATCAGAATAATTATTTTAAGGAATGATATAAAATCCGGTTCATTATTGGCTTATATTCGTCCGTAAAATAAATGTAAATTCATTGTTATGTTATATATATTTGCCATCAACAAGATAAAGAATCTAAATGTGTTCCTGAAAATAACAAATACCCATTGCTTAGGTATAGGATTTTGAGAATATCATGAATAGGAACCACCAATAACATTAATGAAAAAAAATATAGGCCAGTTTTGGTGTGAAGACATTTCTAAAGTTCAGTTTTAAAGACCATATTTATTAATTTTTTTTTCTCTTAATTAAAAGTTTTTTTTTAGTTGCTCAATGTTTTCAACTATTTTATGTACTGCTTTTAATTTTTTCGTAATTAAGTTTCTACTAAATGATCGCATAGTTTTTAATATCTAATGATTACTATTATTATTTAATAATTTACTGTTGCTATTTTTTTTTAACATCAGTTAAATTAATGATCAAAAATGGCTGTGGATTTTATTTCTTAATTATCGTTGTTTATCACACTCATAATAAACATTAAACGATTTTAGTTTATTTAAATAGTTTATATAAATTACGTTGTGAATTTTGTCAAACACCATTTGAACGCAGAACAAAATTATTGAACCATTAAAGACACTAAATGTGTTTAAGGCACGTCCTCTTCCATTTTCCACATCATCTTCATGGTTGATTTTAGTTTTTTTTTCTAATATATCATCCGCATATAATTTGTTTAAATTTTCAACGACATTATTGTCATTTCCAATTATAGTTAATGTTACGGCATTTAAATTATCAACCTCCTGAAGAATATTATTATGATACTCTTAATAAATTGTTTAACGATGATAGGTATGAAATAAAACAATTACATATTATTATACAATTATTAACAAAGAGCTGTTTTTACCAATATAAACATTCATTTAATAAAATAATTAAAAGATTACTAACCAAACGTGATCAGTGATCATCTATTAACAATTATTTATGATGACCGTAAAGTAGCCAAACACCTGATAAAATTTTTACACCAATTCGACTTTAAAAATAAAAATAAGTTTGAATTCATAAACAGATTTACTCTGCATCGGTCCGAACACTTTCTCGATTTTCAATGGTAAATAGTAACATTAAAATGAAAATAAACATTACAGACACAATTTCACAAAAATACAAAGTTAGGTTATTTTTAAACGCATATTCACACCTTTGAGTTTTTAAAATGGAACCATAGAAAATATCTAAATTTTTTTTTTTGATGTATAGGTCTTTAATGTAAATATCACGACTAGTGCAATATACTTTATACCAGGGGCCTAGCATAGTTGCGTGGTGCAGTCAAGAGAAGCTAGTCACAGTGGGCCCTATTTTTTGGAAGCAAATTTTTTTTTTATATTTATACACAAATATGTACTTAATAATATATATGTACTTACGTTTTCGGGGGTCAATCCGTCAAGTTCGGGATCGAGATTCGGCGGCTCCGTTGTACGATTTAGCGGATTGGTGTTTCCGGGGTCATATTGTGGACATGCTTTTTCGTTGTTCCTCTCCCGGAGGTTCAACCTTTTGATCTCCGCCTCTAACAGGCATATTTCATTTTTGGACGACTGCTCGCTCGCGTAAAGATCGCTTATCTGCTGCATCAACGACTTGTTTTCGATCCGCGACTGCTCCAACGCGGACTTCTGTTTCTCGACATCCAATTCCAGCAGGGTGATTCTGTAATTATAAATGTATATTACTTCAACTAGAACTTTAAATAGTTAATAAATAAAGTCATGATTAAAGTCCGAAAAATGACCGAAACTGACGAGTTCAGTTATCGGTTAAGTCACTAGCCTTAAAATACGATTCCGTTAAAGAATTTTTTTTTTTTTTAAGTAGGTACTCGTGAAATCACAGTGACTATAACAAAATCATCTTAACTATGGCGCGAATGATACCACGACCAATCATGTTTGAGACTTAATATTTTATATTATTTCTTATATAAATTGATTATTATAACATTGATAACAACAAACACGGATGCGATTATTTGGGTATTGAATACGTTAAAACTTAAATTATTGTTATTTGCCATTTACATAATTTAGTCGGTTTATATTATACTGCTTTTATATACTATTATATACTGTTATTATTATATGCTTTTATTATACTATACAACAATATTGTGCGCTAACCTTATACCACAGTTATTGATGTTTGTCTGTTTCTTCATCTCAATTTGGGTAATCAACTCCTTGTGCTTGCGTTCTTTCGACGCCAACCGTTTCTCGTACCTGAATACGGTTTCGCGAAGCTGCTGATCGAGCATGAGGATCTGTTCATCGAGCGTGCGGATATGCTTATCGAGCGTGCGGACGCGGGCTTGAAGCGCAGTGTTTTCCTCTTTAACGCGTGAGTACCGTTCGTCTAACCGGTGTTGGTCGTTAACCTCTATTACCATTACTTGTGCCTGTACGCGTACATTACAAAAGTCATCAAACAACGTTATAATTGCATAGCAATAACAACAGTTGAAACAAATAAAAAAAAACCCAACCAAGACGCGTGATAAACGACAAAAGAAAACAAACACGTGACCGCAGCGGCATTGTCGAATAATGAAAATGGTTAAAAAAAAAAAATAATATGCATAAAACCCACGGCCGTGAAACTGCTTTTTGCGCACCATAAAACAATTGAGATTTCCGGAGATTTCGGGCAGTTGCAACAGGTCGTCGGAGTGCGGGGCCGTCGCCGTCGCGTTAAACGTTGCCCGCGAACTCGAATTGGCCGTCCCACACGTCGAATTCGAGTACGGGCGACAGTATTCGATCGCGTCGTTATAACAATATTTTGTTGGCCGCGCGTTAGAAATTTCGACCGCGAAAGTTCGGTACGAAGATTTTTCGCAATTCGTATTTTTAAGCGACCGGCCACCGCCCGGCGACGAAGTCGCGCGCGTTTCGACGGGCCCGACAACGGAAAATAACGAAAAATGAAAATTGACAAATTTACGACGCGTTCCTTTGTATTGAATTTGTACACGGCTTATATTTTCTGCCGAATATATCGCTCCCGTAGATAAACAACAAGAGACATTTGCTTACTGCATTTTGAATCTATAGTTGCGGCGAGTAAGTATAAATAGTTTTTTTGATTTTGTCTGCAGTATAAAACGAGGCATCATCTTGTAAAGTCGTATTAATAAAAAAAAAACCCGTTTACGAATACTTTATACGGGATCATTGATTGTAACAAGTTCAATCCACGTGTGATAACATCAGCAGCTATGGATTTGTCGCCGGATTTATAAAAACAACTTTAACCGACGACCGCCGTAAGTCGTGCGCCAAGCCCGTAAACGAGTTCACGTACGCGGGTACCACGTAATATAATATAAGTACCGTACATTTAAAAAAAAAATATATATTGTTTAAACTGATTGTGAACCGAAATTTCCGGACGTACACAATCGTTTCCACCGAAACACGACCTGTACGCGCCGTTACAACAATAAAATATAATAGTATGTTTAGTCTCAACCGGACGGGGAGGTAAAGGGGAATGTAATAATAATATCGACGCTTGAGACATTAGGTAATATTATAATGTACCCCGAGTATTCGGAAAAATTAAAAGTTAAACGATTAAATAAGCAGTCGTTGTAGTGTACCTTAACGTTGGAGTCGCGGAGAACGTCTTCTTGGACGAACGTGTCTGAGTATCCGATTTCGTCGGGCGTACCGCGATTGGGATTGCTACCGGACGAACGCGAACTCCGGTGAAGGTCGCTATACAGTAATGATAATAATGTACGTGATAAATATTGGGACGGGGTGGGGGCGATCCCAAAAAACTGTGATAAACTTTGACGCATGCGATAAAAATGTCATCGCCCAAAAATAAATATTTGGTATATTTTTGTAAAACGCTTATGACTGTAGTCGAATGAAAAACCATCGACTATTATTCGAATGGATACAATGTCGGCGACAAGCTTACATCGCATAACGATTTATAAAGTGTAATATATCAATATCTAATCAATTCATAATTTTAAAATAATAACAACTTTAAATATGCGTATTGCAGTATTGTGCTCGAGTTATTTTTCCGTTTATATTTTTTATTATTCTGCACTAATAAATGCGCGAGATATTTTACTTCGCGTATTTCGTTAAGGTAAACGAAATAAAAAAAAACAAAACTGTTAAAAAACTAACAAGAACTAGCCATAATTAATTATTATTTTAGAATTAATGGAGTGTAGGTATACATTTATAAAATAGGTACCGTGATAAAATAAACTATATATTTTATCATGCAGCATAAAGTAAAAATAAAAATTAATCAATTATCGATTATAAATAGGAATCATCGATAAAAGAACCAGTTCGTAATTTCCATGATTATTTGAAGTAGAATCTAGATTCTTTTTTCTTCTGGAAATCTAAATGGTTTTATGTTGTTACCAGTTTAATGGTTCGGTAGACATATTTTATCGCATACGATAAGTGATCAAATCTTATCGATTTCGTTCAAGAATCCCAATAATTTATAATATGGCGCATATGAGAATTAATCGTACGATTTCAAAAATTAACCCCCTGTATTCTGTGTATACATACAGAGGTAAATCCGTCAAGATAAAATCCGAATTCGAATCGGTCGTCTTGTCTTTAATGTTAAATAAGTTAGTTTTTAATTTTTTATCTTTTTCAGATCCGGGTACCATCGCCATAGATGTAACCTAAATAAAAAACACACAAGACGCCATACGTTAATACGGTCGTAATTGTTGACGTCGTTTTTCGATAAACAATACCGAAATGTCATCCAAGTTCCTATTCCTTCTAAAAATTCTAAAAATTCTTTGGCTTTTTATATTTTTCCACACAGAGTTTAAATTTTTCGGTTCTGAAACTGTTGTATTATTTATTATATAGATATATTGTACTGTTATATAAAATATTAGTAACATTTTAGACTGTAAAGTGTCTAAAAAATCGGCGGATAAAAATAAAACTATTAATACTACTTGAATAATTAAAAAAATACTGATTGTTTGACTAGTATTAGACGTTAAATATATCATAATAATAATATTGAATTCCTTGTAACAAAAAAAAAAAAAAAAAAAGGATTCGGGTTATGCACAATTTATATAGGTTATAAAATATATGGCAGATATATTATTTTAGAATAATATAAATACTTGACCGATAAAATAATAACTAATATAAAAGCGGGTATTTGATTAAAATTATAGAATATTTACTTACGTTGTGTCGTGTGGTTTGGCATAAAGAATATTGTATTCACAGGTAAATAGAATAAATAATTATTAACAAGTAATTTTAGTGGAGATTATAAAAACGCGATAGGAAATTTGATTGGTTCAGAGATTTTATCGTCTCGTCCTAGAAATCAAATACTCGCGTATTATTATAGGTAACAATATTGGAACGATTTGAATTAGGAAACTAAATTAAATACGAGATCGATAACGATTTCTCGTAACCAACAGAAACCGGAATAAAAGTAATAATATGAAATTCTCGTGTTTTGACGGCCTATATTATATTTGTCGATGGATCGCACGACCGGACGGCGACGCGATATTATTGTTATACACGCGCGGGCACTCATTGTGGATAATATAATAACGATCGCGTAAAATAACATTTTTTTTTTTTTTTTTCTCGTTCGTTTTCGGCTCGTGACCCTCACCTCCGTCCCGATCGCATGATATTACAATACGATATTATTCTACAATAATAATAATATTATTGCACGACGTCCGAGACGGTCTGATAAGAGACGCGTATACGGCCCAAGAGAGACGTGTCGTCGCCGGCGCGTATCGATTACGCGCGTCGTGTCGCGGCTTTGCGTCGTTACGTCGCCACCCGACACTCTGAAAGTTTCCCCTCTCACCTTTCCCGAATCGCCGAAATATTTCCGCACCCGTATAAATATAGTATAATATTATTTCCACCTCCCAGACCCCCACCCCTCCATTACCATCACGGTTTTCGTGTATGCACTCGATATTCGTATTTTCTGCTGTCGGCGTTTTTTTTTTTATGATTCCGAGCCGACCAAGGAATTCTATTGCACAGTTTTACTCTACGAATCGTGCTTTCCCTCCCCGTCTGTAAACAAGTTTTTTGACCTTGAATCCTTTCTCTGACTTTCAAAACTTTAAAGGTGGTTTTAGTATGTTGAATTTCGTCTAGTTTATGTACATTGGGAGGGTCATTTATTGATTCCTCTTTTATTTTTCTTAATGACGATAAAATAATCGTAGTGACCGGGAGATATCACCCTGTGATATTCAACTGTTACTATCAGCATTCAATACCAAAATATACGATGAAATTTGTTAAAAAACGATTAAAACATTGAAAATATTTATATCGTTGTAAAATAAAGTATTTTAAATTTATAATAAAATGTCTTTGTACTTTATATAAATTAAATAACCCCGCATTGCATTCTATTTTTCTAACTTCCTACTTTTTACAATGGCCTACCCATGAGTAGTATCCTATTTATTCTTCAGTCATTCCACGTTTAACCGTATAATCGGCGTTTAATATTATCGCCGTTGTTAAGGCCCCCAACGCACACAGTAGGGACGGCCAGTGACGCCATTCGCATACCTATATACATACAATTTATAAATTCTACACCAACATCAAACTTCTAAACTTTGAAAGCTCACTGGGGCGAACTGTTTGACTAGCGAATTTCAGGATTAGACTTGTAAATTCTTGCAAATTACTAGCGAATTAACGGTCTGGACTTTATGTACGACGCGACGAGTTGGCTAAGTTCACGTACTTAATGGATTAAATTAATTTTCGGTTTTTTATAACAGTTTCTCCGACCTAACACTTCTAAAAAAGTCACATTAATAAATTTAGTGGCGTTATTATTTTGATATTAAATACAAATATCAGTTAAGTAGATACCTAAAGAATTTTAATTTGTTAGTTTTAAATTTTAATTACTTTATTTTTAAATCTCTGTTTTTGTTGGTTCTTTTTTTCTCTTCAAAATGTACCGTGTTTTGTATTTTATTCGATTTTTTCCACTTTTTTGAATTTGTTCAAGTGTTTTCATTTATTAAAGAAAAATACATTATTTTTCTCAATGAATTTTCATTAACTTATATTTGATATTCAATATTCACCGTTTGACGTTACACGTTCAATATTTAATGTACACATAAAAATTGATCTAACTTATTATAAAGACGATTATTTTCTATGTCCGTTGAGAAGAACCCAAATGGTTTTTTGCAGCACTTTTCATAAAGTGAATTAAACAAATTTAATCTATTATCATTTATAAAGTCTGCCCATATGTGTGTAATATAATGATCCGGCCGTTTAAAAATAATTAAAAAATGTGCAAACGTACCACCTCATTGCAAACAGCCTAATCTTTTTGCAAAAAGCCTAATTTTCCATATAGCCTACAACATATATATTTATATATTATTTAAAAATAATAACAATACATAAACAAAAATATACGAATGCTCAAGCTCGGATTAAGATAGGTAGGGATAAAGGAAGGTATATCATCAGGTCACATCACATCGATTATTGCCACAATATACTCGTACTTATTATGACTGTCGACTGATGTTCGTTACTTATGCATTAAACTGTTTAGTTTTAATTGTTTTTATTTCGCTAAGACATATTGAGTTATGTTTTTTTAAGAATTTTTTTTTTGTATTATCCTTTATAAGGAATTCATTGAATAGTTTGGCCATTTAAATGAATAAATCCGAACTTGCAAATTATACTGATATTACGTCGGCGTATGAAATTATGTATTTTTACCTACCAAAATATATGGGATACAGAATTTATTTCCCTATGGAATGCCAACAGACGTAAATGCTAGAGCGGATCATACAGTTAAATGTTTTTATCTCAATAATTTAAACGTTTGTGTTTGTGATGTTTAAAATTCTACTTTAAAAATATTTTTTAAGCACCTAGTCAACGTTGCTACTTAAGCAACAATTAATGTCGCTATCCTGCCCCACTGAATTTTCACCTTCGGGCGCCCTGTCGCAGATTTTTGCTCTGGAACCGTGCCTGGTTTTAACATGAGTTATATAGTTATAGCACAACGATTCTATAGAGACAATTAATCGAGTTTAAAATTGATAGTGCCTTTGATTCGTTCATTATTTTTTATATTTCCATACATAATTATTATTTTTAATTGTAACCACAGCCTAGTTACAGTGTTAAAACGGTGTGCATTATGTTACTGTACTACTTCGGATGTGGGTACTTACGTACCTACATTTCGGGTCACTAACTTACTACTTGCTTTGTTGAAAAAACTAATTTCCTCAATTAATTCATGTTACGTAATTACCAATTCGATGAAACGTTCTTGTTGTGTTGTCCTCCCGTATTAATATATTATTATAATGAGTCATTATAATATAAATTGTTATTATTTACGGTAATTTTTATTATTATTGTTATTATTATTATTATTATATTATGGTGTTTGTCTGTAATTAGTGTGTTTATACTACTACTTGTATTGTACACCTAATCTACATAATTATATTTCATTCCAAATTATAGCTTTTACTGTTTTTTTACCAACTACACAATTCGACAAGTAGAGAGCGCTGCCTGATATAGACTTGGACATTAATGACACATTTATTATCGTGTTAAATGACAAGAGTTGCGTAGAAACCTCATAAAGCTCAATTTTTTTTTTTTTTTTTATGAACATAATGTGAAACTCATAATGAATCTACCGTCAAATTTTCAAACATTTTTGTTTAGTCTAATATTTGTATTCACAAAATATCTACAGAACACAAATTACTTAAAAACTCGTAAAATTAAAATGTGTAAATAGTTCAAAAATTTTACAAATGTTTTGAATATTTGTAACGTCTATAAAAGGCCACTTAAAAATTTCTTTTCAAGTTTCTACCTATATTTTTAACTGAAGTCCAACAAAAAAACAAAATTGAAAATTATAATAGCATTATTTTCGTACATTTTGCAATTTTTTTCAACGTTTTTTCTGGTTTCTCGATCCACTTATATCGACAATTTTTAAAATTATTCAGTATATTATACCCGTCCGGATACCTGTTTACAAGGTGTCCTACAGTGTTATTCTTATGCTAATAAATCTGTCAATTTTCATTCTGTTTACATATTTTTTTTTCCAATCGTGTTTTGTAATATAATATGTGTAAATTAATTAATATACCTATACCTATTATTAGTAGGTAGTATTATTTTATTGGAAATAAATAGGCTAAGGTTTAGTATAGGGTTTGCTACGAATAAGCAAACTATACTGGCTAATACGCGTGACAAATATATTATTATTCATACTTACCTATATAGTTTTACGTAAGCACTTACTCATAGTAGCATATGATCAGAGAGGGTGAGTATGGGTTAAACGGTAAATATTTACGACACACCACGGTATTACCGTCTTCGTTTTCGTTACTCGAGTTTTCTATCAGAAATATTACTTTATTCGAAAAATCACAAAAGATCAATTTTGTTCCTATTAATATTTCGCTGATAAGAGAGTAAGTGGTTTAAAAATTCGATACCTAAAGCAGTTTCTGTAATAATTCAATGTATTTTTCATAACAATTAGAAAAAACCAAAAAACACTAAACATACGATTATTTACATAATACGGCAAAACGATTTCATTATTTTAAATTTTTACGGCTTATATTTTCTATCAATACTGTTCCAATAATAAAATGACAAGAGACTAATTTTTTTCATTTTTAATCTAGTTTATGAGTACGTTTTCCGATTTTTGATTGTCTTTGTAGTTTTATTAATAATTAGGAAAGCCTGGAAAAAAAATGAAATGAAAATTGACGTATAGATATTTTAGTTTTTCGAGTTTTTAAAGTAATTTTTATTTGGTAAGTTATATGTAGATATATTGTTAGACATAACAGAAATGTTTGACAATTTGATTGGAGGTTCATAATAAGTCATGCTTAATGGTCAAAAAAACGATTTAGTTTAATGCAGTATTTGTGTTTTTTAAAATTTTGACGAAAATCGTTAAATATTTAAAACTAATATAGACTGTCCCACGAAGATATGCCTCTTGAATATCTTCGGAGATAATAAAGATAACCAAATTCTGTTTTATTTATATTTTTATATTATTCATAGGGACTTCAATTCGAATTGTATTGACACGAAAACAATTAATAAGTTAATAGTTAAATAGTCAAATTAAACATTAAATAGTTAAAAATAATAGTAATAACTGCTTATCTGCAGAATGAACTAAGTATAAAATTTTAAATATATTATACCTTTCACAGTTTAATCTAGTTGCTTGCATTTATATTTTAACAAATTGTATTGCATATTATGGTGCCGTTTATTAATTATTGTTACCTACATTGTACATGTTTAATTAGTTTCATTTAATAAGTATAAAATTATAATAATTAAGTTAAACGTACAATGTATTATTATTACTATGAATGTTTTTGTTTCCTTATTTTAAAAAATATGTGAACTATTGGGCCCACACAGTGGGGCCCATTATATTTTCGAAGAAATAAACAATAACAATTTTAAAAAAAAACATTTGTTATATTCCATGTTTTAGGTTACAGTAATTCAATAAATATCAATAAATTACATCAGAACCGATCTCGAGCCAAATTTGTTTTATAAGAGTTCAAATTGAAGGCTGATTACAATTCAAAAGTTTATCCAATAAACAAATATAATATATCAATAATAATAGTTATATATGATACCACAGCTAAACAGCTATTTGTCCCATTCCGGAAATTTCCAAACCACTTACTGTTTTTCTGGCTTATTGCATACAGACTAACAGCAGTTAGGCATTTTAAGAACTACAATCATTGAAATATAATAACAACCATTTTACTTATCTTATTTTAAGGGTAATTTATTACTTTTACAAAAAAAAAAAAAAAAAGATCAATAGGGTTATTATAACATGTGAATTGAATAGTCTGAATAAGTATGGTACTTATTATGTAATATTATATTAATTTTATAATCTGTATATCAATGGTGAATATTAGTGAAATATAGATTATTTTAGAGTTTTTGATTATTGAATTACTAGTTTTATTTTACATTACTAACAAAAAAGCAAATATGTAAAATATTTACATGTGTTACATGTGGTTTTTTTAGGTTACATTTTTTATTTGAATTTATAAATTAACATTGAATAGAATATATTTATTTATATTTTTTATAATATACTATACAACAATATATACTTATTCAGTTTATATGTTATAATAATTCTAATGATCTTATTTGTTTGTAAAAGTAATAAATTACCCTTAAAATAAAATAAGTAAAATGGCTGTTACTATATTTTAATGATCGTAGTTTTTTAAAGGCCTAACTGCTATTAGTTTGTATGCAATAAGACTGAAAAACAGTAGGCCATTTGGAAAAATAATAAATAGTTCGCAAACGGGTTACCCCTTTTGCAAAGTCCCTAATTTTCCGTATGGTCTACGACATATACATAATAATAATGTTTCAGTCTATTCTTATTCATTGTATTGATTTACCCCACTTGATCTTAGAATAATATTAATTAGTTGCAGATTTGTTTAAGCTCAGCTTCAATTGTAAGTTTATAATTAATTTAAAGCCGCGATATAACCGGTCGATCGTTATTTTGTTATACTATTCACTTTTCATAATAATTTTTTTTCTGCTTTTTTTATTATGCTTTTTTTTTTTTTTACTTTATTGATTTGCGTTTTTTTTTTTTTACTTTTTTCCAAACCCTATATTATATAATAATGTAGAATTTTTGTCGATGATTTTCATTCAGCACAAAAAATAAAAATAGAAAATAAAGAGCAAACCCGAAAATTGAAAATAGCAAACAGTTTGTCAAAGAGTCAAAAATAGCTAGTTTGAAAATAACTAATTTTTTAAAAATTTAAAAATTTCCCCTTGAAAAAGAAAATGTGCGAATCTATGCATATTAATTAAGTATATAAACCGAAATTCATTTCATTTTTAAAATCATACAATCAGTCTGTATAACGCCAATCAAGGTTCTGCTCATAGGCTGGCCAGGAAACTAGGGAGCAGACGGCAATGATCTTCCTCACTGGCCGGCTTTTTATTTTCCAACTTCACTCGATGCATTTCCGTCGCACCATTGGCGAACGACAATCCCTGAAAATCGATCGAAAATTTAATTTCTACAAAAACCTGTAGTATTTATCGCCAGCTATTCGGAAAAAGACATACTCGAAATTATATTGTGTGGAGTGATTTTCACGTCACTAAACCTATACTATCATAATATTATCTAATCGTTTGAGAAAAAAATTCAGAGTAAATACGATTAAAGCTTTTTTAGAAAATGTCGACGATTATAACACAAACGAAAGAATATAATTTTCATTTTGAAAGCTGTACGAAAACATGTTTACCGGTATAATTGAAAACCTGTTATATTTCAAGATTTCACGGCTGATTACTATACAAGGTTGCGGTCATAAAAAGATTCACTTATTTGTATATGCACAATAATATGGCGTTCGGTAATTATTATTTACTTACTAATACTTCATTTTATGTTCTTGAATTGAACAAAAAATAATTATTTCCAAAATTCGTGTTACTTAAATAAATAAATCGAAATATCGTGCATAATAATTAAAAAAAAAAAAAAAAAATGTTTCTCTTCGGTCAAAATCAGGATTAAATTATCATTTATCCGGTTATCTTATCATCACGGGAATAAAGTGTATATTTTTGGTATATAAATTGTGGTATCATGCGTGAACACTAGTTTCTGCGGAATTATCAGTGATCAAAAAAGTTTTTGTTTACATCGTGATGTATATTCTTTGTTCATATATTCTGTGGGCTGTAGTTTGTGATACTATCTTATAGCATGGTTACTATCAATGTGTTGAAACCCCTTCACATGTTAGTGATGGTATAATATTAAGGTCGGGCTGCGGCTCTCACTAGAATTTCGTGCTAGTTGTGCCACTGATTTTATCAAAGAGAAATAATGATGTACAATAGAACAAAAATCGTTTAAATTAAGTTATCAATCAGTACCTATACTTGGTTTGTTTACTTACTAATCTCGTTGAATACTTTTTTTGTCCGTTTGCTATCGTAAAGAAAACAATGCCACAGAAAAAAATAGTCTCACTGCTTTCCGTTTGCTCTTTGATAAATACTTAGGTACCTAGGTACAGTAAAACTTAAACGCCGAATGCAATTTTAGTATTGGTATTGCATTGCAGTGGACTTGTGGTGTACAAGACGTTTTAAAATGCAAATTCAATGACAATTAAAGAACGAAAATGGTCGAACGCAAATTTTGGCGATACATATATTAATTTATCGTGTTTTTGTATAATATGCTAAGAAGATAACTTAAAACCGAATTGTAAATAATTACTTTTTTCTACCGACCAGTATATTTAATTAGCATATATTAGGTACACTCGTTTTTGCAATTATACAGTTCAATGTTTGGGGATTTTCGTAGAAAATTTAAACATAATTGTAATCTAACAAATTTAAAATATAATTTTGAGTTACACGACGTCGAAAAAACGTTTATTTCGTTGTGTAATTGTATAAAAAGAGATTTTTATTGGGACTGTTATAAAGTCAACGATTCGGCTTACTAAAGAAACCCCCGAAAAAAAGTATAGTTAAAACTAAAAATGTGTAAACATTGCACACTTTTCAAACGTTTATTTATATTATTAAGTTTGATTCTTTTGAGGGTTTTTTTTTTTGATATCATAACATAAAATATATAAAACAGTTTAGCGAAGCGAAAAAATCACTTACTACGTAGGTGTTTCGATTTTTTGGAGCTGATGTCAACGATATTGATGTGATGGTCTTACCCGGAAACGGTACGGACATTATTGGCGCAGAAAAATCGTCACAAAAGTCCCATATATGTATGCTACATGTCGACAAATAAAAAATAAAACAATTTAAAATAATATTAAATATAATAAGTAAATGTAAATATTATTTAAGATGTTGTTTTGGTTGAGAGTGACGCATTATAAGTGATGGAGAAACTTACAAAGCAGGTAAGGTTTAAGATGGAATTGAAATAAAAATTGTTGGAAAAAATAGGAATACTTGAAAATTTACCAAGATGTTCATTAAAAGTCGTACATAGTGGTGAAAAAAAAAAACTGATACTGGGTATGGGAGCGGCCACTGTTTTAGGTCAGAAGTTGGGAAGGTAGAATACATAAGGTTATTTCATTTATATCTGTAAGCAACGATAAACCATTAATTGACGAAAGACGATTCCGATCGCAGTTCGGTAATACATAATTTGAAGTGCCGTACATTTTTTTGCGATGTTCGTTTAAATTTGAATTAAAAACGCTTATTAAAAAAACAAGTTGTCCGATGATTTTGGAAATTTTACCACGTCTAGGTAAGTCCAATATAAGTATTATTACTTAGTTTCAAGTCTTTACGAGTATTTATCACCGATAAACAACAAAAAATTTCACAAAACTTCAAATTCCTTAAAAGCTCAAAATTGGCTCAAAAGTTTTGGTAATGATATTGTAAGAAAGTAAATCAAAAAGGCAACAAAAAATGTATCCTATGATTTTTCGATTAAATCATTTTTTCAGGTAGAAAACGTCGTCCGTGTTTTTATAAAATAATGAAATCGTGAAATTGTACGTTTTCCTACATGTATTCCCACTTGAGTGATTTTATTTAAAAAATGGCATCGAAAAATCAAAAAACGACCATTTTAAAGTACAATTTAGACAACTTGAGCTTTCAAAAAAGTTGCTATACGTAAAAATTGGAGTTATTGGTTTTACATTGTAAAACCAATAACTCCCTTCACTAAGCTTGGAATCTAAAATTGAGTTTAATGTGGTATTTTTCTTTAATAAGAATTTTAATATTGAATTTTGAAGTAAATCGTACATATTACTGTCTTTTAAACATGCGTATATAACTGAATTTGGCTCTGAATCGTTTTTCGTTAGCAATGGTTTATTGTTTGTTACAGATATAAATTAAATGTTTTTTTTATATCCTACCTTGCCAACTTCCCATTTTCAATAGTGATACACCCATCTCCAGTATCTATTCAAAGTATCATCCGAACAATGATGTTGTCGAAAACGTTAACGAAAACAGCCACCACCGTTTGGCCATATCCAAGTACAAAAAATACGAGTATAAACGTCACCTGGAGAGTGAATCCAGCCCGAATACGATTCCGGGATATCCAGTGCACCATTCGGCTTTCATAATTGACAAAGTCGGTGATATTGGAGAGTCGGGCGAAGCCAACAGTCGTGCTAAAAATTCGTGGCGACTCGCGCGGTACAGGATTAGTCCGTTGTTGGAACAAGAAGCCTTAAAACAGATTCGATAATTAACTATCATAACTATCATTTGTGTAATATGACATTATCGATTTAACGTTATCATAATAAGGAGGGTTAGTTTAACTTAAATACTTTACAAGTCTGTCTAAACTGTAGTTGCAGTGGGCTTTTGTTTGAAATTGATATTTTCCAAGCAACATAATGTAGTATTATGATTTTGGAGTATTTAATTTAATGTTGTCAACTGCGAGTAGTATAAAAAACGGAAATTGATTATCTTTATTACCTCCGGAAATATAACAATGGGTAAATACCTTCGTGGGACACACTGTATACAAATCATTCTGTTATTTTGATGTAGCAAACAACGTACGTTGAAAACGGCCAGTCAACCGTGCCTACAACTCAGGGTAATAGCAGCAATTAAAATATCTTATGCCCGTCAGGTGTTTATGGTACTAATTGTTCGACTGTAAAATGTCAGTGACAGAGGTGTACCCAGTACCCCAAGAGATGATTTCCTACTACGTTCTGGACGACCATAATATTACCATATTTATTTGCAGTGTACATCGATTTCCCGAATGTATGACATTTATGTATTATACACTCTATAGCATCATTGTTAAAATACTAATAGTGTATAATATATGAATATAATGTATATCTAATAAACATCAAATTAAATTTTTTTTTTTAATTGTAAGCATTTTAAATCACGGAGTATCATTATACCTATCCTTTCAATTCCGATTAACTACTGCGTAAGTTGTTGGGAGTTTTTAATTAAATTATATTTCTAATTCGTATTATAGTTTAAACGATACTGGGGCATTTACATGCTTAATTTTGAATATTATTAGAAGATAGGTATATTGTTGTTATATCATGTAAACGTTTTTTTTTTCTTTTTTTTCCCTCGTAGTGATAAGGTTCAAGTCAAATTTGCATAATTCGACTGTTAAACTCGTGTTTCCAAGAACCACCATTTTAAATTGCATGGTGGCTGTCGGAAACGAAATAATTACAAAATTACCGAGACATTGTCTTTTTACGAAAACTATTCAAGATTCTTTGAACGTAAAAGTATAAATAATTTATAGTTATCTACCGCGTTTTTTGTAAACGGCGTATTAATTGGGTCAGCAATGGAAAATATATTAGGTTTTAATAAAACTTACAGAGCCGTATTTAGGAATTCACCACTCAGGGGTAATAAAAAAAAGAAACTAAAAATGTATTATCATATATAGTGGCAAATTAACGGGGGGAGGTGTTCAGGGGGTCTGGACCTCCCCACACATCGATGTAATTTCAATAAAATATCGTCCAAAAAAGGGGCATCTATTAATAGTGATACCTTTTAAATATATATGATTTTTCAGGGCCCGTCCTAAAAAAATGTTAAAAATCCGCTACTGATAATGTAAGTATATAATTGTATTAGTATAAAGTTCACTCAGAATCTGTAAACATGTTTATAAGTAAAATACTAAAATGAACATATCGCCTGCCACAACGAAAAAGGGCATATGTTTTTTAAGTATCGCCCAAAAATAATGTTTTACCTATACTGGTTCAAAGAGAATAGATTAGATATTGGAAAAAATAAGATACGCCTTGTTTCATTGCGACAGACAATATGAAAAAAAAAAAAAAAAATGACGAGCAAAAATTTTTAATTTTCTATCTGAGTTATGGCTGTAATTTCTTTAATTATAATATCACGATATGATCAAATTGGTTAGTTAAATTCAATTTCAATTTTTACAGCTAAAGCATTGAGGCGATCATAGTTATGATCGTTATCATAGTGATGCTATGTAAATATACAAATAGATTGTTTGTTATAATAACAGCCATATGTCACCCTCATTTTCATACTTATGGCTTGTTCTTAAGGGTTGAGAGCCGGGGGGGGGTGCATCTATATAAAATAAGACGGCTAGTTTAAATACGTTTTTCGAATCAACATTTTCTATATTAACACGTACTTATAAAAAACGATTTTTGGTTATTCTTGGTTATTAAAAAGTCGGAACAAGATCTCGGGTAGAAAGGTTGTCCATAGAAAAAAAATAAATATTTATGTAAAACCTTAAGCTTCTTCGCTCTACTCAGAATCTAAAAATACTCAGATACATATTATATGATTCGGTTTTCGTCATATAAAAAAATGTGTATCCCAAATGTATTCATATATGTATCAATGGCTTTGCTGTAGGTATCTAGTATTTAAATAGATATTTAAATAATATTTTGTTCTTGGACTACCCGTCGAGAAAGTCCTGGTCATATCAAGCTGATGGATAATTATAATTGTTGAAGTTATTAAGCAAACGCGACACGAATATTATTACTTATAGTAAGTATTGGATTTCACAATTTATTATTGGTAAAATATAAACGTAGGTTCTACCTAAGGTTATTTAGGGGGTACCGAAGTTTTCCTGTAAACGGTTTAAACCTTTATCCCACGAGAATTTGTATTCGGGTCGGTGATGTTACCGTGAATTATTCATAATAAATCTAGTTACCTACCTTCAATTACTATTTCCGCTACAGGGTAGTAGAGGGAGCACAATAAATACAGTTTAACTGAACGAACACGCAGTATTATCTGTCCGGTAATTCTATATACTCGGGGATATTGTATAGGTTAGGTACTCCATAAAGTTCTCTGTTCAAAACTCACGGCAGTTACAACCGCAACCGTCACGTGGTATCGAGAAGTTTCGCGGATGACTTTTTTTTTTTTCCATTTACGAAATTGAATCGGGAGCACGAGACGTTCTATAGCGCACAATTTTGATTTGCTACGATCCAGTGCTCTAGATTCGGTTAAACGATTTTACTAGTTACCAGTCGTTCACCCATTGTCATACTTGTGCCTCACTCTATTATCACTTTCATGCCAGGAATTAGTCAGGAACTGTTTGATTTCTGTTTTATCCTTTTTTTTTTAATTTATTAAAAAGTGGAACGTTTTTTATAAAGTTTCTTATTTTTATATTATTATAAAATGTTTTCACTTTGAAAGTTATTTATCTTCTATGTTATTAAAGTCTAAGCCACAGTCCCTCGCCTTCAAGTACTTATCTCCATTCCTTGAGCTTATACTTAACGTCCTCTACCGTTTCTCATATTAAACCTATAGTATGCATACAAATCATGCAACATATTGTACCCTAACCTTATATCTTTTTTGTAGAAATATATTTTTATATAATGCGATTATTAAAATTATAGTAGATAAGTTATTGGCATGTCGTGCATTAGTGTTGTCGTGTTAAATTTCCACTGTGTCTGTTTTTCCGCTGTATGTAAAAAATGAAAAACCAAATTTATATGTTGGTTTATGAAAGATTTCTATACATACTTACATGAAAAGATATACAACGAAAAAACATATCAAACATGTGCTGAATATGAAAATTGAAATGAAAGAGCTGAATTCGCGGTGTTGACGAAACACTTTACTGCATGTAACAAATATACTCAAAACGCATACAGAATCTAAGCCAAAAACGTCGCAGGTATGAATTATTTTGAGTGGCACGAATAGTACTTTTGAAAAATTCCATTTTTTACGGTTACATTTTTTTTCGACGGGTTCTAGTCTGTTTACGATCACTTGTCGTGCGAAAAATATCGTTCTTTATTAACCATGTAATATAATAATATGATTGTTATCCAAAGATCTTGTTTTTAGCTTCTGAATGTAAGAGAACGTGATAGCCGTTTGTGTTGTCTTGGTCCAACTAACGGGCAACATAGTATATTTACTTAACGCAGACTTCATAGAACTCGCTTAACTTTGGTTTTTTGAGTAAAATCACCGATTATAAAATCATAATAAGGACAATTTCGGAGAGCAAGACGAAATATTTATTTTTTTGAAATTCATTTTTCGAAAATGTTAAATTAGTGTTTATTTCTAAACGATGATTGAACGTTATAATTGGAATGCTATTTAGAATAATCGAAAAAACCGGATCGTTCTGCTATCCAGAATATCGTCCTCTTTTAATTATATAATAAGTGCTTTTACTCTAAAATACAAATTAATCAAATTCCACGTATGGTCTACGTAAGGATATTTTTGATATAAGTTTTGATTAAGTTAGACTGTGACAACATATGCGATTATTACGCTCTCATAACAAAGAAGCTATTATAATTTAATAATAACCTACTTTTTATTCGAAAACTCATTTATGGTTAATAATAAAATCGCTGTAATGGAATATAGTTATTCACTTTTTAACGTACGTAATATGTTTAACTCCAAGTTGGTTTGAGTTTTAAACGAATAATTCGAGTGACATTTTTAGAAAACTCTTAGCAATTTAGTTTGATAAATTAGTAATGATCGAAAAACGAATTAGGTTTAAACATCATTAAACTCGACCGTATATAAACGTTTTTTAGATAATATTAAATTGTTAATGCACTTAAGTAATAAAACATTTTATAATCAACAACTTATACCTTTGCAGTGTACTATAATTATGCATAATAACATACTCACCAAAAAATAATTTGAATCAAACGGACAGATATCCAACCAGTTGACGGAAAAGTGTTGCCCTAAAATATAACATAAACACTTCAATAACAATCGCTGTTCGATTAAAAACTATGACCTTATCAAAAACGTTCTGACCATCAAATAAAACTTATTACCTCAAATTATTACCTTTGTATTGTTTTAAATAAATATAATTACACTTTTATGAATACAATTAAATTATATTAGTTTGTATTGGATTAACAGCGATGGTTATGAATAAAAAATAACCTCGGTCCAAAAATACCTTAACATAACATTTGATAACATTTCGAAAAATGTATAAAATTGATTGAATGAAATATTATATAAAAGTATGTTTGATGTAGTAAAATTAATAATACAATTAACATTTCGTGTTCACTAATCGAACAAAATAAAGCAAGAATGAAAAATCCTTATAACGCGGATAAATAATTGACCGAAAAATCCAGCAAATCTGTCGCAAAAATAGAAAGCTTTTTGTGGTTAAAGTTCTATCAAAAATTAAAATGAAAATGGGGACGAAAATTAAAAAGGCAAAAAAAAACATCGAGATCACAGACTCGAAGGACCGTCTTTGTTTATGTCGGTTACTCAGTTGTGTCCCGAGGGGATTTCGTGTAAGTATATAGGTATTTTTTTGGGGTTTTTTTTTTTATGTCAGCCATAGTAAAACAAGATAAATAATCATTGTGGTCGACCGTTAAACAGAAAAAAAAAAAACAAAAAGAAAACGGCTATTCATTTAGACGATTTCAGAGGTTTTATAACGACAGAAAATAATATTACCGCAGTTACACACACAAAACGGTAAGTCGGCTAAATTATTTGGCAGAGCGAGTAGTTTCAGGGGCGATAACAACGAACCGTATCAACGAAAAATACGAAAATTATTACCATAGATGCGATAAAAAACCAGAAAGAAACTACACATCATAGTAAAACTAATAAATCGTTTGCCACGTCCCGAATCTAAAAAAACCTTATATACTATATAGCATTTACGACAGTACATTTTAAAAACATTATTTTTATATATTTTGTAATATACTTGGACATTTTCGAAGATGATATTCATAATGATTGGTTTGTATATTTTAACATGAATTTTTTTTTTTTTTTTATCAGATCGTCAATTGCATTGATGATCCTTAAGTAGGATTGTGGAAAGACTCGAATAAATTGATGATTTCCATTCAATAGTCAATTAATTCAATTGATACAATTATCGATTTCAAAGTAATTTTGAATTTACCGTCGCCAGCGTAGATGTAATACGACGGCCATACTTTGTGTTGGCCCAAGTTGCACCGGAGCACTAATCCTGAATTAGTCCCGATAAGAACGTCTTGATTGTTGTTCAAACACATGCAAGTGGCCGACATGCCGTCTGACAAGTACCTATATTTTATGCATTTATAATAATATAACAGCAACGCATAATTGAGGAGCCTAGAACACAAGGGGTATAAGGGACGTTTTTAAAAACTCGATATTAGATCTCACTAAAATAGTCTTCAAATGAAAATGTCATAACATATTAAAGGTAAATAGATCCACAACAGCTGTACATACACTTATGTCTATTTACTGACAAGTGGCTAGAAATTTATTCGATCATTCAAATATAAGTGATGATATGATAATATGCTATAATAATTGTATTAAATACAAATGACTTTAAACTTGATTTTCTTGAAATCAATAGAATGCCACTTATATCCCTTGTGTTATAGGCACCTCGATTATTATTATCAAGCTGCGACAGCATTGATGTTAAAATAACTACGACAGGTTTTTTTTGTTACCTGGGAATATTCCCGTTGGCTTGAAAATGTTGCGTTTTCATTAGTCTCACGGAGCTCCAGGGTGCGGTGCCGGCGCTTTTGTGTTCGGAAACTTCCGAGGCGTCGGCCCAACTGTCCACGACCGTCCACACCGATAACGCGAAATCTTCGTCCAAACTACATATCTACAGTAAACGATGTGATACAAATGCGCACATATATCTTAAAACCTAATCATAACTAATCATTACTAAACAGCATGATTAAAAGTTATGATGGTTTTGAATTCGTCGGTTGTCGCACTATTTCGGAACATGCGGAAAATAAAATAACTACAGAGAAATCACGCTGTAAACGCTGATCGAACACCCTTCGTTAAGATCTGCAGTTGGCTAATAGGAGAGTGCAATGCAATTTTGCGCGGTAAATATATTACAGCCAAAATTTTACGCCAGGAACGTATGGTCAACTTGCGAATTTCCGAATTTCCGGTTTACGTAACTGTTGTCACTGCTTGAACTGTTGAACGTCTCCATATAATCGCATTATTAATCTTAATTGACGTCAACGCGACACGGTAGATATTAAATAGTAGTTTTTTGTGTACGTATGGGAAGGCGAGGTATAGTAAATCGAGACAACAACTTACCGGGAAACTTTTATATACTAACCTCGTCGGGTAACTGCTCGTCTGTAGCCCCGGTGGCGTTACTGTAGGTAACCGTACGTAAGCCGACTATTTTTGACGTGTGTCCTTGATTGCCAGACAAAGCTATAAACAAATATTTTACAAGAAAGTCAACACGACGATATGGTTTATTTTCGTGTCACGTATTCGTGTTACCGGTGTTGAACGACGGAGAACGTAGCGGACAAGGGAGACGATCGATTTTTCGGTGATGGAATGTGCTCTCTCTTAAATCCCACAGGCATATACTCCTATAGGCATTTTAGCGAAATTATAACAAAATTAGAAAATATGACCAAATACATCGTGAAAATTAAATTTTATACATCTTAGAAATTATTAAAATGTGATGAGGTCTGTGCAGATTTTACACGAACCGTTTTTACACTATATAAAATTAACATAATTTTTCTTCCCTGTCTTTTCATTTTTAGTTAGTTTTTCTTTGAAATTCTCTCCCTTCGTAAAGATACCGAATTTCAAGTTTCTACGATTATTTTTCACTGAATTTAAACAAATAATATCTAAATAAAATCTTGTACAAATAAAAAATAAAATCGTTTTTATTACAATAGTCTTATTATAAGCTATGTTTAAATTTAAACTATACTAGGTTATCAAATGATAACCTAGATGGCGCCACATAATTTCAGAGTTTCGTGCTTGTCTACTTGTATATACGTAAAAATAGATGTAAACGAACCGAATAATCATATTAGTAATATAATAAGATGTGTAAACAAATTCTTTCACACATAATCTTTAAAAAAAAAATGATTATAGTGAACGAATAACAAATCCCGAAACAAATATAATTATTCTATTAAAATTTCAGGTATGTACTACGATTTTAGACCAAATCAAAACAAAGAAAGAGTCTCTGTATCAGTTTTTTATGAGTGTGTCACTGTTGTATGTGGAAAGTTGGAAAAGAAAGATACATAAAGTTATTTAATTTATATCTATTAGTAACGATAAACAATTTCTAACGGAAAACAATTTGGAGCGAAGATTGGTTGTACATGTTTGGAAAGGCCATAATATTTACGATTTTCGTCAAAATTTTATATTAACTCTTATAAAAAGAAAAATATATTTCATTAAATTCAATTTTTTTTTTTTACCACTTAATTCGAATTACAGTGTACCCCTTGTTAAATTTTAAAGCATCTCTGTTTAATCTAACAATTTTATCTATAATGTAGTTACCAAACAAAAATTATATATAAACTCGCAAAATTAAAATGTCTTTAAATATCTTAAAAATATCTCAAATGTTTTGAAAATTTGATCACGTATAGAAAATTATAAGTTTTCTGTCAAAATTTCAAAATTCTACGATTAATTGAATTACAACAAAAAACAAAATTAAAAATAAAAAAATATTTTCAAGGTATTTCTAAGGTTTTTTCGGTTATGTTCATTTATTAAAAAAAAAAAACTACAAGGAATATCAAAAATAACTTTCATACTCACCAACTTGATTGAAAATGCGTACAAATTAAAAATAATGCAATTATAACAACGTAAATTTGTTCATTTTCATTTTTCATCTTTTTTTGATTTTTCCCTTTTATTACTAAAACTGCTGAGAAAATCAAAATATAATTTATTTCCTCAGCAACAAGACCAGAATGCAAAAAAAGTAGGTTCTGGGTAATTTTTGATTAAAACAATATTTCTGGTAAAAATTATTAACAACGGAATCGGATACTCCTAGTACCGTATATACGTATAGTATGCTGTTTTCCCAATTATTATGAAAATCATTGGAAAATCAAAAAAATGACCTTCTCAATGCATCAACTAGATAAACGTTACTTTCAGAAAAGGTACTATACTTGGTATATCAGATAAGGGTTCTTTTTGAAATGTTACTCATAAAAAGAAAATATATTTAAAAAAAAAACTCACTTCATAGTAAAATTTTACTATGTTCTGAATCTAAAAACAAAAACGTATTATAACAAAACAATTATTTTCGTACGTTTTTCTTAGGTTTTTTACGAGTTATTAAAAAAACTACATAAAACATCAAAAGATCTGTTCGATACACCAACTGGATACAAAGATACTACACTTAAAAATCGGAGTAATATTAAAAAATAACTTTTCCAATACACAAACTAGATCCAAAATGTAACAACAATGATCTCTCGGCAATTTTTCGATCAAAGCAATAATTCTGGTGTCAAATTTGTTTACATACAGAAAAAAACACACGCACGTCACATACAACACATACACACACACACACGTCATAGTAAAACAATTCTACACTGCACTTAAAATTTAAAATTAAAGCTTACTGCTTACAACGGATTCAAATGTTCGCTATAATGACTGCCTGAAAAAAAACTTTCGGTTTATTTTCTTTTATGATTCGAATGGTTAAAAATGGAAAAAAAAATGAAATCAATAACCGATAATCAACGTGACTATAGGACTGGGGGGCCTAGAGAACAAAATCATTAGTATTTGTACAGATGGATTTATAAATTTAAAAAAAATAATACTGGACCCTATGTGAATATATTGTTATAGGTGGATAATTCGGAAAATATTTGATATAAAGTTATTTACGTTTTCACATATGTACATAAAGCAATCATTGCAATACAGAAAAAACGATTCTGAGTTAAGTAAATGCAACAATTTTATTTTTAAGCACGAGATTTTGTTTTCATAATTCGAATCATTTTCGTATTAAAATTAATTTTTAATAGGTGTATGATATAAAAATACGTTTCGTAGGCAAAAGCAAATTTTTATTTTTCAGATTTTACGATTGAATTCGGTCGGTTTATTTTTATCCGTAAATAAATATTACGTATAAATACCTCTTGGTGACTACCAACTTAAAAGTTGTACTTACATAAATAAAGAGAAGACAAAGAATGGGGGAGGGAGTGTGAGGAAACATTAAATGTTTATGAACTTTGATTTTATTTCCAGCGCACCGTATTTTTCTACTTACCTAATTGTACGGCGTGTGTTTTTTTTTTTTTAAGACCGTCGCATAATGTATAGGTATTATAGTAATATAATATTTTGTGCAGTATCCCACAAAGATGTACAAATTTAAAATTATGGGCAAATAGAATTATTATTATATTATTGTGAGTACCGTACCGTTTTAAATTAATTAAACCTCGCGGGACACTCTTTATGTATATACAAATATCTACGGTCGTTAATTTTTTTTTATGTCTTTATATACATATAAAAATAATGCCCGACGTTGGTATCTAACGTAATTTAAATTTATTATTGTTTTGTAATTATTATTATTGTGTCGTTACGATTTCGAAACATTATTATAATTTATTGTCAAAACTATAAAAAGGAAAAAGGAACAAAAATGGAAAAATTTGCGTACGATAATTTGTAGTTTGGACACGTTTTATTCACAATTTTAAACCTTAAACGGTTAGAGGAAAAAATCTTGACTATGGATTTTTGATAGTTTTTTTTTTTTGAATTATCCTAACATATAACAACTTATGATGATAACAGTCGAATTGTCGGACATTAGTCAATCCACATCAAATCATAACACAAACAAATTAGACAATTTTTAATAGCTACAAATAACTCAAAAGTCAATAAAATATTTCGAAAATTAGATGACGAATAGAAAGTCTTAGTATAGTTATTTGGTAGTAATTTCAGGTTTCAATAAGTAATTTTCACTGAATTAGATATGACACAAAAATATAAAACGGAAAATTACGTAAATAAGAGTATTTCAGCTTTCTCTAACTATTAAGAAAAATGTAAGGAAAAGCAAACAATAGGTGTAATTTAGAGATACTGGAGGGGGTTTTTTCCCCGAAAATATTTTCCAGCCATCTAATGGTGAATTTCAAGTGAGAGTTATTTATTTGCTATACCAAATTATCCATTTAAATTTTTTTCAAACTTAAATCAAATTCTTAAATGCATCGACCACAATATTTCAGTTATTTTATCAACTCCTATTGCTATTTGGTGTTCCAAAAAATGATCCATGGAATAGTTATGGGGGCAGGTGCATGTACAAGAGTAAAGGAGGGATTTTAGAGGTTCAAACCTCTCCAGAAATTTCATATAAATTATGATGAAAGTACATTTTTAATGTCTCAAAAATAATATTTGTCAATGAGGAAGATAAATACAATTTTGGTTTTATTTTTATTTTATTATTTTCATTTCTAATTTGTTGTAATTTTTCTGCTTTTAGAAAATTATAACTGATACGGCAATATTGTATAGTGCGCGTTCAATCACAATAATATCATTTAGGCTGTATTCTCTAAAAAAAATATAAAAATATTGACATTTTTAATGAAAAATAAATAATCCTACAATTAAAAGTATGTAAACTTTTTTGTTATAAGAGTATGAAAGTGTGCAATATTACCCCCCCCCCCCCTCTTCGAAATACTGTTTTGTTAATGCACCTGTATGGGGGATACTATACAATATTAACAATCTAAAGGTTTCAGTAAAGACTATTAGCCATTGTGCCGCATTTTATGTAATTGCTGTAGTGAAAAGTTAAAAAGATAGAGGGAAAATTTAAATTGAGAAGGAAGTTCTGAAGAAATTTAATGTATATTTGTACTCAAAAATAATCATTGTTAAAGAAAAACGATTCCGATTAGAGTTCGGTTAATAGTGTTTGCTTTGTCAACAATGTATACGTCATATTATGGTAAAATAATTACATTTGCATTAAATATTTTCTTTAATAATATTTATTTATTATAGTAATTATTTTTCCTTTTTTCCTACGTTTTTTCCGGTTTTTTCATTTATTGACCATCACAGTTAGATTTCCTTTCAGAAAAAGTGCTGTAATTGATAATCAGAGCAAATCGCTGGAAGAAAAGTTATTCACAGATAAAAAATTTAAGAAAACAAATAAACATTATTGTAAAACCAATACATTTCTCGTTCTGCTCAGAATTTAAAAAAAAAACATATACTACACTGTTTTATATTATTTGCTACTGCCCACGAATTAAAATGCTACTACATTGGTTCGTGATACCGCCCATCATTTATCGCTTACCTGTTATTAATATCTCATTTCATCGTTGTGCCAGAAATTTCGGATAAATATTGATAACATTATATACCTAACTTATATTATAATAACCTAACCTATATAATATTATGTATGTGTTCATAGTGTGTCTTTTGTGAATCGTGAGTAATGTTAATATTTACATAAAGACAATTCTGATATTAATGATATATAACAAGTAGGTAATTACTGATAACGTGATTCCAAATTTGTATAAATTGTTACGAAAAAACGTATGCATAATGTAGTTTTTATAAGCGTTTAAATTTGAAATTTTAATAAAAACGCATATATACCGTCCCATGCTTTCCGTTTAAAATAAAATAGTACATTAAAATTTCTGAAAAATTATTTAAGTACCTACGGAGTCGAGAAAATTATGTTATTATTTGTATCTACGAGTTTAAACGCATTTTCAAAAAATATAAACCAAGCCCTTCCGTCAAATTTTATTAATAAATATGTTTTTGTTATTCTCCAAGACGAATAAATAGTTAATTAGTAGTAAACCAGTGTAAAAACGAAACCCCTCCCCCCCCAAAAAAAAAATAATAATGAAACCGGTACCTAGTAATAATAAATTAAAAACAAAAACGAAAAAAAAATCGTAATTGAAATCAAAAAATCAAATTTTTTTGGGGGCTTCGAACATTAATATAACCCTAGTAACATTACTCAGGTAAAATTATTAATATTAATGTGTGGTTTACCCATCCGCGTGTGCGGCCGCAACAAATCCGCTGGTGGATTTAAGTACGGAGCAAAATGACGTAACGCGGTTAGGACATTTGAGTACGTACTCCGGGGTTTCCGTGTTTGAAATACTCCATATGCATATGACGTACTGATAATACGAATCCATTACCTGGAATTAGAGTAAAATATATTTTATCGCGTATCTAAATATTATGTGTTATGCATTTGTGTAAACAAATTTCGGCTAACGTGACGTCCATATGTATGATACACATGATACGACGGTCGGCAATAATGATGACCAAATGAAAATGACCATGGAAAAAATGGACATAGGAAAATATGGCTAAACAAAAATTGACCGATAAAAAAATTAGACATCTTTTCTCATTTCCATATTTGAAATGCCCATATTTAATACCTATGACCATTATTATTTATTATTTCTAAGATCCGAGATTTATTGAATTTACGTAATTTGTATCAAATAATCCAAACAATTGCTACGTCAAATAGAAATATAATGTTGCAGGTTTCATTTAAAAACACCAAACAAATTGTATATTGTTGTATAATATATTGTTCAATTGTAGTTTCTTTAAATATGTCCAATTTTTCCCATGTCCATATTTTCCTTTGATCGTTGTGGTATACAGCAATTTTTTGTTACACTAATATTACCGTAGATGCTACTGCATCTAAAAATTCAAAGGGGCCTAAAATTGTTAGTTTTTTTTATTAGCAATGGTTTTTCATTTAACGCAGGTATACATAACATTACTTATAACAGTGGCTGCACCTGACCCCATTATCCTAGGATGTATTTTTTATTTTTTTTTCAAAAATAATCGCGAAATTTCGGTTTTGTAAAAGAAATCATAAAAAACAAAACAGGAATATTGTTTTTTTGATAATATAGGTAAGTATAAGAAAAAGATTTTTTCGTCCGGTCATAACGCATTCATTATAGAACATATTTTCACTATTGCTACATTAGTTCCAGACATTAATGGAGAATATTCTGACAAAGTTTGTTAACAAATATATTATATTTTCCTGAAATTGGATTGATATCATATCATATTTCTTCAATGTATACGAACACAATTATTCTGCCATTCTTTTAAATTATCAATAATTTGTTATTTATTACGTCATTGGCAACATTTTACGTGATTATACTCAGAGAAAAGATTTTTTAAATTTATATTAGGTTAATTCGTTTTTATTATTTTTCAAAGCGAATGTTAAGCTTTCTTGAATCTCGTATGGGATATTAGCGTTCGAAGTTCTTCGGGACAACAGGACAAAATCAAAAAATGAGACAATCCCGTATTAAATAAGCTTTATGGTCACCCTTGGCTAGGATTTATAGGGGGTGCTTATTTTGAGCCTAGGGGTGTTTAAATCTCTTTAGCCCCCCTTTTAGTTGCATCTATGAATATTACCTAGATTCATATACTGCACATGTAGTGATAAATTAAAATTAAACCAATATTTTTAATGCCAATGTAAAGATTTATTAATAATATTGGCAAGATTTTTAAGAAACATAATAATAAATTTAAACGATAACAAATATTATATTTCTTTTAAAAAAAAAAAATGTTTTCTCATCATTTTTGAATTTTAAATGATATTAACTATTATAATGTTAATACTTTTGTAAGTTTTATTTTTTGTAAAAAAGTTATTTAATTTACTTAAAAATGTCCATGTTTTGGTTTTGATTGGATAAGTTATAATAAATATAAAATATAGGTCTTAGATACATGCAACTACATTATAAAATGGCATATTATATAGCACATAATATCGACTTATCATTTTTCTCACAATCAATAATCAATAGTTTAATAATTTCGAAAAGTCGAAAAATGATAAGGCTTATCACGTTTATCAAGATTAAGTATCAATTTCTCATATTTCTCTAGGAAAATAATCATCTAAAATGTTTCACAAAACGTTCTATAGAATTAATGTATAGTATATAGTATATTGATCAAATGACACAACAATCTGACGGACTTAGAATCTTTGCATTACTCACACAAAATGTCCATCAATTATAATTATATTGTTATACTATTACTACTATTATTATGTATTCAATAATTATAACTAAACGTATAAAAATATACTTCTAATGTTTACTGTGCATGGATTTGAAATTTTACATTAAAATTACATACTTAAAAAAGGCATATTATTCTATTGATTTTCAATACCGTGATGTTATGAAAATTATTTATTTTTATTAATATAAATATTATTATAACTGTTAGTGTTATTATTATTATTATACTATTCGACGTCATTATTATTTCTTTTGAGGGTATACTTTATACTCGAGCTTGATGGAGTGGACATAATTTTTTATTTTCCCTCGGAGCGTTCTACAAAGGATTCTCATTTAAAATTAAAAAAAAGAAAAGGTGAATATTACAGTTAGATAACATTCAGCTTTCTTATACAGTGTGTCCACAAAAACAGGACACATTTTATAACTATATCAGCGCCCAAGATTGAATATATTTTGTGGCTTTTTGCTATGTGGTATTTCATTTTAAACATTTTTCTAAATTCCTAACTGGTTTTCTATACAATTTAACAACATTTTAGAAAGCCCATTCTTTGAACGTGCAAAGATCCCGGATTCTAAACGTATTTTAAATAATAAAATACAATGCCATTTATAGTTTTGAAAAAATTTGGTAGCCAAGTACAGTATTACTATGCTTATATGAAGAAATGTAAATAAATTATAACTACTAATTCGGAAATGATGATAAAACATTTTTAAACTTTTTAAAGTAATAATATTTTAACAACTAATTTAGTTTTACCATGATGTGTTTTGTTTTCTGTCGGTAAAAAAACTTTTTGAACAGAAAACTTCTTCCGATCAATAAACAGTAAACCTTCTTCGTTGTGTTTTAGATCTGGATTTGTTTTTAAAGAGGTAATTTTTTTGATTTTTCAAAGAGTTTTTAAAATAATTAGGAAAAATCGGAAATAAAATAATAGGAAAACGGCAAATAATTACGACACGTCGCAGCGTCACCGATTGTATTGTTTTTAACTTTTATGCACTATATGTTTTCTTCCAAAAATATTGCTTTAATCAAAAATGTCCAAGGTATTTTTTTGTTACATATAATACCTAGTTGCTGAGTAAGTAAATGATTTTTTGATTATCCATGCAGTTTTCATAGTAATTTGGAAAAACTGGAATAACGTAAAAATAAATCGGAACAATTTACGGCGTACACATTTAAACCCTCCCACCAATTTTCTAAACAAATGTTAATACATCGGTTTTATTATAATTTCTGGGTTACCTTGACTATAAGGGGAAAACATGACAAATACTATAATATACTACTTCGCTAGTAATCTTTTTTTATTTGCAATGATTAATCGTTGCTTTTAGTAAGTATATAAATTAAATTACCCTCTATTCTGTATTTTTTAAACTTCTTCTCCTACTACAGTTTCGATTTTTTTAGTATAATAATAATTTTTATGTGTCCAAATTTTATCAAACTTTCTTGAAGCAAATATATGGTTTAAAAGTGTGTTTTGTTTAAACAAAAAACGTTAAACTATTTTATGCCTTTAGAATCGAACTACAATACTAGATAAGAATATACAATTATATTTGTATCAAATTGTGATTCACGCTTTGAACTACAATTTTTTCAAATTACGGAACGATGATTTCATTATTTAACATTTTTTTAAGATTATATTTTACTACCAAAAATCATTGTACCAATTTCAAGAATAGTATATTTTCAGAAAACCAAAGTTGTTCTGTTTGTTAGGAAGGAAATCGTTGTTTGATTTTTCGTATTATTTTTATAATAATTACGAAAAATCTGAATAAAACGTAAGAGATATAACAAAGTGTACAGCATTTGGATTTTTCGTTAGTATTCAGTTATAAAGTATTTTAATTTTCATAAATTATTTCAAGTATACTAAGTGATTAATTTAAGTAGGTACACTCATTATCTCAGAAAATATTAACTTTTCGGGAATTTGGTTTCTAGAACATTTAAGAAACAAGTTATAATATTATATTTATGTTATTTTTTTCATCCTTATGGGGGATAAACCACCATTTACTTTTGATTTTCAAATGACAACCTATATGAAAAATACCATAAATAGATGGAGCATTGGTTAAAATAAATTAGTGAAGTATTATTAATACGGCGCACGCCGTACCATCACACAAATGATACGCCACTACTCTCCTCCAACCTAAATTTAAAAGTGGAATATCTCGTTAATGGATTAACAGAAATCAAAAATGTCAACAATAAAATGTATTTTAACTATTAATTCATATATTTATGGAATTTTTAATATAGGTTGCCAAATGAAAATTAAAAGTAGGTAGTGGTTTTATTTCAAAAAATAAAGGTGACAAAAAATTATAAATTATTATAATAATTATTATTTTTACATATAAAAGTGTGGAGCTGCTTGTTTTTATGATGTTCTAGAAAACAAAATCTGAAAAAAGTTAATATATTCCGAGATAATGAGTGTACCCACTAAAATAAATTACTCAGTATACAGCATTATTTTCGTAAATTTTTCCATTTTTCACACGTTTTTCCTTTGTTTTTTACAGTTATGTTGAAAACTGCTTAGAAAATCAAAACATTTAAGGTATCATCCAAGGAAAATTTTCTTTCGGAAAAGGTGCCGAACTTGAAATTTGGAATAAGACAAATAATATATTTTTCACAGTATATAAAATAATAATAATAACAATAAAATAAAACGCACTGGAAAACCAATAGATATTCCTAGCTTCATTCAGATACTGGAGTTAAAACTGATTTTAACTTTTCACATTCAATTTTTTTGTGAACAATTCGATAACACAATTAACTTTAAACGTGTTAACTAGTTAACTTGTATTAAATTAACTTATATGAATTACATAATATTAGCCTTGTTGAATAGAATTATTCACTTTTGAATAACAACAACATGTAAGTATAATATTATAATAAAGTTCGGGGGACATCTAAATATTTGCATACTGTCTAAAATATTTACAAGTTGAATTAACTGCTTGTAAATAAAATTTGTTGGGTGGGGTCACAAGTAGTGTGCAGCCAAAAATCGACAGAAGTATAATAGGTTTATTTTCTCGATACATTTGCAACGTACTTCATGTGTTGTGACAAGTGACTCGACGGTAGACGTGACGCATGAAAACTCGACGGAAGTCACGGGGCGCTTTGCCAGGAACTCGACACCGGACACGGCCGGACTTAGGTGTCCATTGCTAAAGCCCAAGACAAAATTGTTGGCCATCAGTCTGTGTTCGGCACGGTCCACGGCTTGCTGGTCGAGCATCGACAAAATTGCCCGGCTGAAGACCAGTACTCTGTCCATATCAATCACCGAGGTCCCAATGCGCATCGGCCCGCGATCGACGTCCGATTTAGTGCCACCGACACCTAATTTCGCCTGAAATCAAAACTAAATAATTCCACTCAAAAGTTCCAATCAAATTAATAAGTATTTCAAAATAAAATATTAAAAAAGCGGTCTTAAGATAATGGAGACAGGTGCAGTCACTGACCCATCGTTATAGGTAATTTAATGTACACCAATAGGCAACGATAAATCATTGTTAACGAAAAAACGATTCTAAACAGAGTTCAGTTGATAGTGGTGCTTTGTTAACAATATATGCATATATTATGGTAAAATAATGAAATACGCATTACATATTTTCTTTAAAAATATTTAATTTAATTTAATGTACTGATTTTCCCATTTTTCCTATGTTTTTCCCGGTTTTCCCATGTTTTATCCCGCTTTTCACATTTTCTGGGAAAACTCCTGAGAAAATCGAAAAACTAAAAATAGACCTAAGTCCTAAAGCGTAATAACTAAAAATAGTTGTGAAATATTCGGATATTTCCTATACTCAAATTTATTTATTTTTTTTTAAAGGGACTTCTGGTGAGGTACAAATAAAAAAAACCAAAATAAATTTGGAGAAAATATATTTAAATAGCCTGTAGAAGCTAGGGACAAAATATATAAGCAAAGTATTTTGTTGATCAGCTTACTTTTAAGTATTCAGGAGAAGAACAATCTAATTCATTTGTCAATACGATTGGACGCTGTGTCCATTTTTCAGCTGAATCGATGTCATTTGTTTGAACTTCTTTTTCCGCATTGTCGTCGTGTGTTTGCGTTTGCACCTAAAGTACATTATTCAAAATCACAATAACATTGTATCCTCAAATCTCAAGCACAATAATCCATTTTCGTAATTTTAATTTATCTACGAATATTCTGGTCTATGTTATTAAGACATTATTTTTTATCAAACTAATTTAAATGAATAAGATCGTACACTTATTATAGTAAGCTAATTGGCTTTGTTTTTAGAAAAATGCATAGATGTTTACTGTATTAAATTAGCAAAACTATTGTTTTTGATATTTTATAATAATTTCTGTGATTTTCTTCAAATTGATTAAAAGGTAAATTGTATGTAGATTTTACCTCTTCTGTAATAAACGTATTTGACCTTATTTTATTTAATGTGGTTTCACTCAATTTACCATAAAGTCATAGTATTGAATAATTAAATTTTAAAATGATAGTTCTTTAAAAGTAATTATTGTTGCTGTATGCCATTTTGAAAGATCGGTTTTGTTCACTATACATAGAAAAAACGTTTCTGTTTTTTTTTTACCTGTGTCATATTTGAACGTCCATACATCTTTATGTATTGTTCGTAAGGTATAGCCGGCAAATCCAACAATGAATAGCTAACAGTGTCCAGCTTGATCATTTCCATCAACATTTTTCCTCTAGTTTTAATTTTGTCTTTTATCTGCGGTTGGTTTATTTAATTATAAAAATTATTTACATCTAATTTTGAGAAAAGTTACAATGTGTAAATAAAGTATTGCGTTTAGTGAAGACGAACTAGATGGAAATAGAGGTTTGATAATTTACTTAAAAATGTATGGTGGACGTGTAATATAGGATTGAGTGTGGTATGATGATGTAGAGAGATGTATTAGGGGTACGGTGCGATAAAAAGATTTCATGTCAACAAATTAAATGTAAATTTTATAAAACTGTGATGAAATCGATGATGTTGTATAGTATAGAATTCTGAGCAGTAAACAGATTGGTAGAGCAGGGGATTAGTGTAGCAAAAGTAACAATATTCAGACGGATCAGTGGAGTCCTACTAGACAGGATAGCATGAGTAATTGAATTTTCTTATAAGAGATATTATAGAGATATCATTGTTTCAATAATTGATACATCGAGAGAAAATATTTTGAAATGGTTTGGACATATGAAAAAAAATTTTATCACAGGCTGTAAGTGTAGTTTTAAGAATAAAATATGTGAATGGAAAGAGGGAAATAGAGAGACCAAAAAGGAGACGCTTAGACATGATTGATAGTGATATGATGATTGTGTACTACGATCTGGTATGTATTTAGACGATGTGGGAGATCTAATCAAGTGGAAGGTTAAGACCATGTAGTCGGTCATAAATTGATATGAAGAGAGTCGAGGAAAAAGGAGAATAAGATTGATTGCATCTCATAGTAGCACACATCACTTCTAAGTGGTTCTAACTCACTTCTTGTTCTCGTTTCCTTTTTTCGGCGGTTTTAAAGTTTTTCAAGCCCATTTCCACTGTCCGTTCCAATGAGTTTACTTCAAATTTTTCTTCCAAGAATGGCTCTAGTTTTTCTTCCACACACACAGGCAATGCAAACTTAACTCCTGAAACCACCGAGGATGGATTAACTGGTATTTGCTGTAAAGCTGTCGGTAACGATATTATCGACGTATCAGAATCAAAGTCAGAATCATAATCCTGAAATTATTACATAATATTTTTAAAAATATAATTTCGTTTTAATATATATTTTACTTCGAAATCATCTTCATATTCTAGATCAACGTCTGATGACAAGTCTTCCGTTATCGTGTCTGCAGTATCAGTTAATTCAACGACGCGGTCAACAATGACTTCGTTTTGTTTGGATTTTATTTCGTCATATTTGAGTTTATCGTTAACTGGAAGTTTTTTTCCAGGATTTTTTTCAACGGAATCTTTTCTCTGCAATTTTTCAACTTTGGTGAACGAGGGCCGTCTATTAATTTGACTGTTTCCTAAATATTCACGTAAAATTAATGCTATAAATTATGTTATTTATTTATTTCTCGTTACGGTTTTTTAAATATTTATCGATGGTATAATACTGATTTTAAATGCATATAGAAATAAAAATAGATCTAAGCATTTTGATTTTGAAACGAATGACGGCAAATACAACTTGACGGGATCTTAACAGACTATTGTATATAATTGGAAATAAATTAAATTTTCATTAAATTTTACGAATAATTTAACCCATAGGCTATATGTATACCTCAATATGTATTTAATAAATGTATATAATTAATTAATATATAATTTTATCTACACATTTCTCCACATAGGAAATCGTAGATACTCGTACGATTGTCCATTCCAATTATTTACGATATAATATATGGTCTGTAAGTCTAAACACGAGTGGATAAGACCAACAACCGAAGTCAATGAAAAGTGCTTTCCTATGTTTACAAGGAAAACCCGAAAAAAGAAATATGGTCGTGTTTGCAATTATAAGAAACAACTGTAAAAGTGTAGAGTATAAGAAGTGGTCTAATAAAAATTCGCTTCGATGTTACGGCCGGAAAAGTATAATGGTATTTTTATTTTCCTTTTTTTTTTTTTGCGAAACCAACAAATAAGAGCACCACCATGCTGTGAGAAAGAATGGAAGATTTTTAGATAAAAATCAAATTAAAAAAAGAGAAATAAACTTGGCGGAAACATAGATGAGATATGTACCAAATACAGATCGAAAGATAAATTACCTACCGCTGCAGGGTGTACAGCGGAGGAATGAGTGATGTGAAAAGGGTTAAAACCGTTTCAATAGGTATGATACACAATGTGAATGTATGACTTTATTGGAGATCAGCAAAATATCTGCCATATAATCGCCTTGGACCCAAGAGCTCGTTTAATAATTTTGCCTATTTGGTAAAAAAAAAAAAAAAAATTTAAATACATTCAGTTTGAAAATTACGTTTAACGATTTAGTGAATATCAGTAATTCGTATAATTGATCTTCAAAATATCTCGTCTATTTTAATGTATGCAAATTATTTTCTTGAATAATATTGCACTATATAATAATATACAGGTGGTTCAGTGGTGCAGTTGTAATATTGTAGTCAAGCATTTAAATATTTCTTTTGTACCTACATTAAATTCGTTTCCTCGAGTAACCGCTGGGTATGCACTTATTGTAATTCATCGTTTAGAGGTTTTTTTTCTTTAAACCTTTATATTCAATCATGTAGATAATTGTATTTATGATTACATTTTAACCTGACAATACAAGATTTATAAATTTTGTTACCATATTTTTTTTTTTTTTAAAAGTAGAAAAACTTTTATAAACGTTATAGTTATTACGTATAATATTAGTTATATATTATAAGTGTTTTTTGTGGAAAAAGTAAATTTATTGAAATCCGCGATAACAATAATGTATAGATATAATCACTTGGAAAATCGAAGGGGTATAAGTGATTTAAATTTACAATTTATTCTACGCAATGATCAATGACCTTGTATTTGATGTCCTTGAGTAGCGAGGGGCTATTTGTTTTAGCAAGATGTTAATTTTTTTCTAGTCTTTGGACGCGTTTTTTTCTAGTAAACTAGCTCCGATTTTTACGTGTAGCAACTTTTCTGAAAGTTCAAGATGTCTAAATTGTACTTTAAAGTGGTCGTTTTTGAATTTTTCGATGCCATTTTTTAAATAAAATCGCTCAAGTGAGAATAAATGTAGGAAAACATAGAATTTCACGATTTCATTATTTTATAAAAACACGGACGACGTTTTCTACCTGAAAAAATGATTTAATCGAAAAATCAAAGGATACCTTTTTTGTTGCCTTTTTGATTTAATTTCATACAATATCATCGCCAAAACTTTTTAGCCAATTTTGAGCTTTTAAGAAGTTTGAAATTTTGTGAATTTTTTTGTAGTTATTCGGTTATAAATACTCGTAGAGACTTGAAACTAGGTAATAATACTTATATTGGACTTACCTAGACGTGGTAAAATTTCTAAAATCATCGGACGACTTTTTTTTTTTAATAAGCGTTTTTAAATCAAATTTAAACGAAAATCGCCGAAAAAATTACGGCACTTCAAATTATGTATTATCGAACTGCGATCAGAATCGTCTTTCGTCAAGTAATGGTTTGTCGGTGCTTACAGATATAAATGCAAGCCCGGATACAAGATGATTTTGAGCCTGGGGCCAAACAATTTTAGAAGTCGATAAACATACTCAAAATATTGGTGTTCATACAGTACTACCAGCCAAGACTAATGGCCCACAATATTACGATATCCAGGAACCTGGGGCCATGACCCCTTCTGCCACCCCCTTATCTTGGCCTGTATAAATGAAAAAACCTTGTGTATCCTATCTTCCCCAACTTCTTGAAAAAAAAAAAAAAAAACTTTTGGTGAGTTTTTACATTTTTGGAAATTGTTAACAATTAATTCCATAGGTTTCTTTTTTCGGTGGCTAATTTACTGATTTCTGACTTCCTGAGTTTTCTTGGTAACACGAGAAAAAAAATTACAATTACCTAACACGTAATGACGTTCTAGTTAATAAACATTTTTAAGAAAATACATTTCATTATGAAGACGATCGTGGTATTTTAGCTTGTGTGATAATAATAATTTTTCAGTTTGATCGACAAAATATCGTGGAAAAAAAAATAGAGTTCAGGCAGGTGTATAGAATGTTGCAATATTTCGTAATAAATATTTTGTAATTCGTTACTTTTTTCGTTTATTATTCCCATTATTGAAAACGTCGAACTTGTTTACTTTTTGATAGGTAAAATAATATTTGTTCGATTCATTTTTTTATCGGAATACAAAACGGAGAGTTATTTTATTTTGTCAATGCAGTGTTATGGTCGCGAAACTATGACGATGACCTATCTGACTGACGACGACGGTTCTAAACGCGCGTTTCGCCATCAACGTGTCCGAAGTTAAACCCTTGAAAATTGTTTTCATTCGATCGATTCGGTGTGGGCGGACAACTGACCGATAACCATAATGTACAAAAAAAAAAAAAAACTTGAACCTTTGGACTACCGCGACAAACAGGTGTGCCGGCGATTTTATCGCGCAATCCAATAACGATCGGTGTTTGTTTTTTTTTGGCCGCTTATCATTTCTATGTACGTTTGCTTTTGCGCCGTTTTCGATTCCATAATTTAATATCATTACTTTCGGTATAGCGTAAAACGGCGAGAATATTTAAGCGTTATGCGCGTGAGTCGCCGGTACACCTATTTTTTAATGTGCCCGTACACATAACATCGCTGGTCTGTTTTGTCATGACGACCGTTATAATAATATCACGACACGATGACATAATAACAACGTAATCGAACGTCGTCGACCGAAACAGCGGTACCAACCGACCGGGAAAATAATATACTGACTTTTTTCGGTCGTAATTTTCTTCGTCGTCGTCGTCGTCGCCGCCGCCGCCGTCACAGCCGGCGGCGCCGGTACGTTTTTCTTGCCGCTCGTCGTCGTCGTCGTCGCGGACGATACGTTTTTCTTGCCGCTCGCCGTCACCACGGCCGCCGCTGCGGCGGACGCCAACTTCGGACGGCCGGTCGCGGACTTTTTGGACGACGCCGTGGCCGCCGGCGCACGGGCCTGAAACCGTAATTTACAAATTAGACACTTTTTTTTTTTTGGTTTGAAAAACCACGGCTAAAACGACTATATTGTGTACAAAAATAAAAAATAAATAGGCACGGAACGGCATTGTCGACGCGATTCGGCGGCGAACCGCGCAGTTTGACATTTCGCGCTTACGCGAAATCACGAATGCATATAGAGAGCGGACAATGGCGTCGGTGAAATATAACGAATTGTATTTATAGTGTGCGGTTTTTTTTTTGTTTCTTTCAAAATCTCAAAAACGAGACGCCCGCGTCTATTATAGGTACCCGAATATTCGCCGTCGTACCTATATAGAATACGATAAGCAGTCGTTCAGTCGGGTTCGAAAACGAAAAATTATCCAAGGGTTGCGGGGGGGGGGGTGGTGGGTAAAGTGGAGAAGGGAGCTTACCGCAACGAATCCGTTGAAATTCTCGACGGTCCTCCGGGCCATTTCGGAGGAAAATGACCGCCGGCGGACGAACGAGTCCCTCCTTCCCCTTCCCTCACCAATACCCATACGCCGGCTCTCGGCCCCCCGTCCGCGACCGACTCGCCCGCGACGGGTGGCGTACGCTCGCCCGCCGTACGCTGCAGGGCATCCGCGGTGTGTGTACATGGCGACGGTTTGTTGTCGTTTCGGCGCGCCGTTGACGACGGCCGCGTAATTTAAAACGATTATTATTATTATATAAACGCGGGCGTATATATTCTCGTGCGATAATAACGGCGACGTCGATGACGACGACGGCGACGCGGGTATAATATTATAACGGGACTGTAATAATATAACGACGAGGGGAGGCCGCGCGTGTGTGTACCTACCTACCTACCTACCAGCCTGCCTGCCTACCTGCCTGGCCGCCTCTAAAAACTACGGGCGCGAATCGATACGCGCGGCCGTGCGAGGCGAAATTTCACCGGGCCAACGACGAAGGGCCCCGGAAACGACGACGGCGGTTGCGGCGGCGCCCCGATAATCGTAATAAAAATAATAATAACACGACGGATAGATGGACAAAATAATAACGTTGTTTCCCCGTCGAATAATGGCGGTGTATTGGGGTGTACTGTAACGGTTTCGGAAACACATTATGCACTTTTGATATTGCATCAAAGACTTCTCGTCCGTTATTGTTATCGTTATTATTGTTAGACACTCGAGTTGATGAGATTTGGTTAATTTGCGTCATGAAGATCCGTTGCTGAATATGATATTAGTGTCTCCTGTAATCCAATTAATCGCAGTCTTTCCGCATATATTATTACGCACAGTTGTACGTATTATTGTTCCTGATTTGTGTTTATTGTAAAACACATTTTTCGAGATTGCGCAGTAAATATTTTTACACAATTCCAAATATGCGTGTTTCGTGGTACATACGCCTAATGATAATCAGTGCCTATTCCGTAATAAAACGGAACACGTAAGTATACGTTGACACAGAATAGGACGAGTATGACCAGTACATTATTAATACTATTTTTTCACTGGCTCTTAAAAAGTATGCATTTCTACTGTGAACACGAAATAAAAATCGTTTTCATTTCTATCCTTTTTCCGAGACGATTTCCGGGGCAACATCTGAATCGGACACGAACGAAATATGTTCCGCGACAATGTTTGGAACAATTAAGCGTTCCAACATTTCGATTTCCGATGGTACATTTGTTTGAAATAATCATGTACGTAGGCGTGCGCACGGGTAGGGCTGATTGGGCTTTAGCCTCATTTGAGCTTTTTTTTACTCGGGGGTGAATACCTACTTGGTATTTTATGAAGTTATGACTAAAAGTAGGTATAGCCCTTTTAGTTTTTAAACGTTTGTGTACGCCCGAGAGACTATATAGAAATTAGAAAGTAATAAGGCGTTATAGCCGTAGAAAATTGATTACAAAATAGATCAAAATCATAGATATTTACACAATTAAAGGTATACTGGTTGTTGGTTGCCCATCGAGATGTGATAAGCATTCGTGGATATTAAACATGTTTATGATTACGGTTATGATGGTTATTATGTTTATGATTTATTAATATCTATGATCAAAATAATATTATGTTTTATCTAAATGTGTGTTTATACTAGTCATCATTGAAAATAGTTGCGTTGGACATGCCATACTTGAAAAAATCGCAAATAAATGTAAAACTTGTAACGCTTAAATCAATATCTAAAACAAAATGGGCGTGCTGATCTGAAGCTATATCCGTAGTTAAATCGAATTATTCAGTTTCGGTTATGGTGCTTCAAGAAATTTATGATTCAACCAGACCCTTTGATGTAAGCGTTAAAGCTCGTGGATTCATTTTTCAAATGCAATCTGTTAATTTTAAATCCACCCTAATTATGCTGGAACCTATTTTTTCAGTTACATTGAAGGTCAGCACAAATTTACAATGTTGACACATTAGTTTAACGATTAGTCAATATCGGTCTGATGATGAAAAATATGAAAAAATATACAACAACGCTATAAAAATGTGTGATAAAAAAAATATTGATATTCTTGATGTAAAAAAATCAAAAAAAAAATCAATAAAGGTTGACTACAACCACGATCATCAATATTTTGAGAAAACTAAAAAAGATGAAATGAAACGTTTTTGCTTTTATTTTGTACCTGATCAAATTATATCTGGATTAAATGTTCGATTAGGCCAGCTTTTACAATTCTATGTTTTATCCGAAGAATAAATATCCCGAGTATAAAGTTATACTACAAGTGATCTAGAGAGATTTTGGTTTTACAATGTATTATATTCTCTAAATAAAAAATCTCTGGATAACTCTGTGATATAAATTATATGTGTGAAATAATGAAAAATGATTGTTTACATTTTTCAGTCACTAACAAAAGGGTCACTTCGAAGTTTGTAGTGAAAATGTCTATAATTTGTTCTTATGCGACAGTGACAGGGGGGGAGGATTGGGTGGTCAGATTGAATTTAGCCATACCTAACTCAGAAGTCTGCGCACGCCTATGACCATTTATCTTTGAAATGAAATTCGAAGCAGTACTATTTTATTCGAAACTTATTTGAATGTAATAGTTTAAAAAGTCCGTTTTCTCGTGCAAGATTTAAATGGTCAAATCCGCTTGAGTCGAGCCAAAATGTGCATTATGTTTTATCGGATTACTAAACACAAACTAAATAATACATATTGTAATACAATATCGCCAGTCGCTCCGTAAAAAGGTAGTATCGTACTTTGCCAACTTCTATTCTCTAATCTTATAATCGTTTATCATATCGTCTGCCACAACGAAAATAGTCGTATCTCATTTTTTCCAACTTCTAACCTAATCTTTTCGAACGGGTAGTTACGAATTACTATACGACATTTTTCGCGGGTAATACTGAAAAAATATACGGCCTTATAGATACTACTTGAATTGAATACGACTATTTTGTTGCGGCACGTGATTATTCAGTGATGATGTTTGGGACACATTTTAATTTAATTAGTTACGACATATTTTTATTTTTTTTAATATACTTTCCCTTTGTGCTTACCAACAAAATTTAAAATAATACCGTTAGGCTGGATTGATTCGATACGATAATAACATAACGTTACATTTTGTTTGAAATAACGTATCGATCAAAGTTCGAAACGAATAATGACGTGATGTTTGCATAGAAACGGTCCTATATGAACAGTTAATACTAAATTAAATTAAATTAAATATCGTTCAAACATTGTCGTGGGACGTCCAAACATAATATTATTATACCGTATACATCTATTAATATATAATTCGTGTCTAAAACCCCGTTGAAACCACATTTTCAATCACAAATTTTAACCTGTCGATTGAAGAGGAGGTTTGATAATAGATGATTTTGCTCTAAAACCAAAACTAAGTGATTTCTACTCGGTCTGATAAATGTTGTTTTTACCATGTTCTCTGTAACTTGGACTGAGCCTACATATGTGATGTATCATATCCTCGTAATGACACAAATGACACTCAAATGAACTCATCTAGACGTAGGCGTTGCCAGGATATTTTTCAGGGAGGGTGCATAGTATACGCTGATTTCTAAATAATGCTAATTTAATAATGATACTTATTATTATTATAAAGTTAAATTTTTTCCAAAAGAAACGTAAAATTAATTCAAATACGAGTATCAGTTTGAGCATTAATGAAGATAAAATTAGTTTAAAAGACAGCTATGAGATAATTTACATAAGTACAAATATCAATCAACAAATGACAAACAAAAAGAAGTGCCACAATTTCTTCAAAAGTTGACTATTAGTGCTTAAATAAATTAGATATTGAACTGCATTTAAATGTCTATGTTGATGAACAACGTTTGAAATTATCGAAAGAGTCCTGAGTTCCTCCGAAAATAATGTGACTTTAAAAAAATTTGACCAACGACTCTATGAGAGAATTTCGTTGGTTTGTCACTTATCCATGGCCACGTTACTCGGCTGTTTCCAAAGATCCATTTATTTTTCAATATTTATTTTTTTGAAAAGCCAAAAGGGTGAAATTTCACTCACTTGCACCCCCTTTCTATCATTCTAGACACAGTATTACACATCCGAATACTCCGTTAACTGCATATAATGCACTTTTGTCATCGATATTAATCGAGTTTATTATCTATGCATCCGTAGTGTTCCATCTGAATCTGAAAGTAAAATCATACTCAGAGGGAGCTTGAGGGTTTTAACCCCTCCCGCTGACATTTGTGATTTTTTTACGAATCATACGTAATTTCATCAATTATTTTCTACGACAGACATTTTCTTGTGATTTTGAATACATGTATGTCGCGCACTTCACCTGTTTGGTAATTTATTATTCTAAATATCTGCCCGAAATTTTTTTTGAAATTTATAACACCCCCTCGGAATACTAATCCCGATTGCACCACACTGATCGTATTATACAGTATAATGATATGCCGGAAGCCGAGTCGACAAAACGGGTTTACTAGTGGTATATACATTATATATAGGTAACTTATCGCTACACATACGGATAATAATATAATATATCGGATACGACAGGATGTGTCTCGCACACACATGCATCACGGTAGGTGTACACAGATATGTCGGACTGATAAAAAATATGCGTATACTTTTTTTTAAAAAAAACACCGCACCGTCCGCATTGACCGGCACACTATACCGACGTCGTCGTCGTCGCCGCCGCCGATCACTCAGGTGTGAATCCTGGTGGATGTTTACGAGTGGATATACTCGGGAGTGAATAACATATTGTTTTTTCTCCCTCCTCCTCTCCCTCGCGCACATACGCGACGTATGGCACGTGGAAATGTATTATTGTCGGCCATTGTGCGTGCACAGGTACGTCCGTTGTACTGGATAAAAAAAAAAAAAGGAGAAAAAAAAAAACCCGCGTGTTCGGCTCGAAATAATACACATACCGTATTACTCACTGGTATATTATATGATAATTTTCGTACGTTTATTATAGCACGCGACGCGCCGACGACGGGGCGCGAATTTTTATCCGGCGTGTCCGCAG